TCTAATGTGGTAACTCAGCAAGTTGTTTGCAGAACTCTGTATCTGACAGTTTTGTAAGACTTTGAGTGTGATGCAGTATGGGTGTTCTCTCAACAGATCTCTGTGGCTTCGGGGGGTTCAAGTGGCTCCTCAGGCGGGGGCTCAACTGGGGGCTCACAACTACAGGATCCAGAAGAGGATCTATGGGGGCTATGGGGGCGTCTTGTCAACGACTGGGAGACGTGGAACAAAAAGAAGAGTCTGCAGATGAAGGTAAACTGTTTTCCTCTCCTGACATTTGTTTCTCAGCTGCTGTGTAATAATATAATAATAATAATAGTAATAATAATATTTTATTAGGACATGATACATAGTTGTACAAGGTATTATAATAGTTGGGTGCACTTTTCGAAAGCCCCTTACATGCAGAGCATTATGGGCAGGATTAATGTAATAATAAAGTAATATATATTACCAAAAATTTTTGTGAATTATTGATCAGAAGTATAATTAAACTCTCAGTTGAATTAGTGTCTGTTATCTTGTAGCTACCATATTCCTCAAGGTATACTACAGTAATTGCTGTATCCCCCATGGGATACAGTAAATAAATGATGCTGATAAGGGGCCCTTGCTAGTAGATTGAACCTGATTGCCTCCCATTTCTCAGCTGTTGTAGAACTCTTACATCTACTGTATAACCCCTACAGCTACTGCATTTCACTACAGTATACATAATGCACTAAGTAGATTATTCATGACCAATTGCTAAATCTGTGAGGGTCATACAGTGTCTGGAATGGGAGGAGGATAAGATTAATCATGTTTGATCTGAAAAAGAGGAGGGTAGCTCTGTTTCCTTAAATCAAGAACTGCACCAGCATCAAATCATTACCTTTGAAGGGAAAATAGAAATCAAGGGAAGCTGGAAATGCAACACGCTGGCTGATTAATGATTAAGAGACAGGGCCTAAGAGCCAGAGCTTACTCAACAAATACGTTGATATGAGGATAATGCAGTTTGCTATTTGCAGGAGTTGGTACGTAAAGGTATCCCTCACCATTTCCGAGGAATCACTTGGCAGCTGCTTTGCTCTGCGCACAACTCTCCTGAGAAAGCCAAGTATGCTGAATACCTTAGAACAACATCAGCTTGTGAGAAGGTACGATGTCAAAATTATACTCTCATTGATTGACATTTGTCTTTGTATTCGTCTTTCTGTCAGTTAAAGTACAGTATGGTATATGTTAGTGTATGGCAGGTCCTCAAATAATGTAGCTTTATTATAGCGTTGATGAGGAAAAAAAATCGAATGAATACAAATTATTGTACAATAAAAATTTGTGAAGTGTATGTGATAATCATACGATAATTGTTTCACTTAGTCAGTTTCCAAGAATCTATCAGTGATGCTAGTGAGGTCTTATTGTATTTCCTTGTTTCTTCAGACCAATAAAGTACATTTCCAACCTAACAAGAAATGTTAAATTTGGTGTTAAATTTATATTTGAAAGTCGGCAAACCCATTTCAACATTTTAAGTGATTTTTAATGAAGCAAGTTCAAATATACACTAATGTGGATAAAGCATTATAAAAAGCTGGAGAATTTATGCTTCATTATGAGAACTGAAAGACAGAAAATTTGCTGATAAAAACTATTCCAGTATCTTTAAGAGAAGTAAGTGAAGAGAGTGAACATTGTGTAGATGAAAGGGAAGAGATTTATTGAACATTGAGTGGTTTTTGTACAGTTTTCCGTAAGGCTCTTTGATATATGATAGTGTAAATGTGTTATCAGGTTTTTATATGCATTTGAAAGTAAAAAAAAAAAAGCAAAAAAAAAGCGAAGGGTATGTTTCACTTTACAGCAGTTTTTGCTTTACAACAGTAGCCTTGAATCTATCCTGCTGTATAAATGGGGCCCTCCTGTATATTAACAGAAAAACCTATTAGTAGGGGAATAAGCAGTAGTTAAGTTTGTTGATTTTTATGTGCTTAAGAAAATTAAGACACAGGATTTCGAACTTTGATTATTTTTCTTGAGCAGATCAAATTTCCTCCTTAGCAAACAGAAACAAACCTTATTTCTTTCTATGGTATTACAAAATGTAGTTCACATGTAATAGAATGTTGTTAAGCACAAGAGATATGCTGGGCATTACGCCAGATTACTTATGCTGCTCGTACATGACGGTCAGATGATCCACCAAGCAAAAACTTTAAATTATACACTGCTTAACAGAACTTGCCTTTACAGGTTATTCGTAGGGACATTGCTCGCACTTATCCCGAGCATGATTTTTTCAAGGAAAAAGATGGATTGGGACAAGAGAGTCTGTTTAATGTCATGAAAGCATACTCGTTGCATGACCGAGAAGTTGGGTACTGCCAAGGTTCAGCCTTCATTGTTGGACTACTACTGATGCAGGTAATGCCTTATTCTACTAGTATTACATATCTCACTCTGTACATTGTCACTACAGATAATTCCATTTGCACCATAAACTATAAAATTTAGGATTAATGTAATAAAATAAAAATTTCAGATGCCAGAGGAAGAAGCATTTGCTGTTTTAGTTAAGCTGATGCAGGACTACCGCATGCGTGAAATGTTCAAACCTTCCATGGCAGAGTTGGGACTCTGTATGTATCAGCTGGAGTGTCTTATTCAGGAACATTTACCAGACCTTCATGCACACTTCACCTCACAGAGCTTTCACACATCAATGTGAGTTATTGTAAAATGAAGCTGTACTCTAGGTATTTATTCTTTTATTCATCCATAAATTGTTATTATTATTACTATAGATGGCCAGTGCATTAATCAAACAGTTATGGTATTGTATATTTATGGGGAAATGCCAAGCCCAAGAGAGTCACACAGCACTTGGGGAATAGGACAGGGTGTGGGTGATTTAGTTTGATTTAAGGGTCGGGTGGCTTCAGTGTCTTAGATGAAGATCCATTTACTTGTCAATGCACCTCCTCTTTACCCTTGAATAGTATGCATCATTCAAGAGTGTATAAATTGATTTACATATATAATAAGTCTGTATGCCTTAATTACCCCAGTATCCTAGTTTATATATCCACAATTGTTAAAATAATCAAGGTGCTATTCTCAGGTGCTAAAGTAGAATAAGTTCACAATTTTGCCATTATATTCCAAAGCTCATTTATTTGATTACCACTTTATTCTTCACCACAACCTATATTAGTCCCTTTTTATTATAATTTTAAACTATAATTCTAACTTTAAAAAATTACCTTTATAGTACTACCTACTATCATATTCCCAAGCTCTATTATATGATCATCACTTTATTTGTATTAGTCCCTTAGCTCATTATTTTACATTTGTTAAATAATTCAGGTGCTCTTTTTTAGCTTAAGACTTTATACTTTGTTTTATACTTAATTCTAACTATAGATTCACTACAAATCTTATGATTACAAGCATTGATCCTGATACCAACCTCTTATTTAATGACTTAAATGAATCAAACAGTTACTGTAATTACTACACTGCAGAACAATCAAAGGCACTTCTCAGTGCCAACAACAACATACTGTCTTTAACTACAATATCAGATCTTTAAGCAAGCATTATGATGACCTCATAGCATTACTAAATTCCTTACATGCCAATATGTCCATCATTACACTAACTGAAACCTGGCTAAAGCCTGATAGTACAGATGTCTATGCCATTCCTGGTTACACAGCCATACACAACTGTAGGCCAGACCAACAAGGGGGTGGCACAGCCATATACTACTCAGACCAACTAGAATGTATCACTAATACTTGCACAAGGGATGAACATGGGAATATATAATAGCTAAATTCAAATCCAAATACCTACAAAAACCTCTCACATTGATAAACATCTACTGAGTTCCACAGTCAAACATTAGCCAATTAGTCAAAATCTAGGAAGTATGATAACTGATGGCCACGCATGAACAAAGATCACTTACTACTCTCAGGTGACTTCAATATAAATCTCCTACAAGACCAGGACCCACACGTTACTGAATTCACAAACAACAATGAGTAACTGTATGTTACTACCAACAGTAACAAAACCTACAAGAGTTACAGAGACTAGTGTTTCCCTACTTGACCACATCTGGACCAACACCCATATCCCCTTTAAAATCAGGCATAATTACAGATAATACCACAGACCACTACCCTACTTTCCTCATAACAACTCTTGGTAAACTACCCCAAGACACTACTAAAGTCACCTTCAGACTTCACAATGAGGCAGCCATTAATAACTTCACAACAGCATTAGCAAACATGATTGGCACACTGAGCTAGAAATCTATACAGATATTGATGAATGTATTATAATTTTCTAAAAAAGACCCAATCCTCTATAACAAGCACTGCCCTAAAAAAACTAAACAGATGACAGCAAAGAGACTGAACAGTCCCTGGTTAACACCCAGCATTCTCAAATCCATAAATACAAAACACCAATATGAAAAACAGTACAGAATGGGTCACATAACCCAGAGACCAAACAAAACGTTACTCTTTCAATCCTAACCAGGCCTGATAAGAAGGGCAAAAAAAATTGCATTATGAAAAACAGATTATCCAACTTACGAGGTGATATAAAAAAGACCTGGAAAAACCCTATCAGAAATTCTGGGAACAAAAAGATAACACGAAATAGCGAAATAAAATTTAAAGCAAAATCAGATGAACCCAACTCCCACCAACAGAAAACAGCAAACAGACTCAATGATTTCTTCTCCACTATAGGACAAAAGCTTGCCAATAAAATCCCAAGCTCAGATACCCCCACCAAATGACTACCTCCCGGCAACTACCCGAACACACTGTTTCCTAGCTCCCACTAACCCATACGAAGTCTCCCTTATTATCAATGCACTAAAAACAAGGCAGGAGATTTAAGTACCTTACCACCCTTTTTATACAAAAAAGTGTCACAAGTGCTATCTCCAATCATTGCAACACTCTTTAACAAATCCATCGAATCCTCCACCTTCCCTACAGTACTCAAAATAGCAAGGGTCACCCCGATCCACAAAGGAGGAGACCAAACAGAGTTAAAAACTAAAGGCCAATATCCAACTTACACCCTCTCTAAAAAATCTTCGAAAAATTAATTCATAAACGAATCTACTCCTACCTTATCTCCCAAAACATACTCAACCCCTGCCAATTTGGATTCAGGCCTAAAAAAAAATACTAATGATGCTATTATACACATGCTAGAACATATATACACTGCAATAGAGAAAAAAAAAAGTCCCACTGGGGATCTTCATTGACTTACGTAAAGCTTTGATACAGTTTGACCATGACTTGCTCCACGTAAAATTGTCACACTATGGTATAAGAGGGCACTCCCTCAACTACCTCAAAGTCATACCTCAGCAACAGAAGCAATATGTGTACGCAAATGGGGCAAACTCTTCTGGCGCAACCAATTACAGTTGGTGTCCCACGGGAAGTGTCCTTGGCCCTCTTCTCTTTCTCCTATACATAAATGACCTTCAAATGCTTCGCAATTACTCAAACCCACACTATTTGCAGATGACACTACATACGTCTTCTCTCACCCGAGCCCAGTCACACTACCAATACTGTAAATACCGAATTACAGAAAAATATTCTACCTGGATGAGGACTAACAAACTTACACTAAACATTGACAAAACCTACTTCATTCAGTTTTGGTAACAGAGCTTCAGATGTCCCTCATTAACATAATGAAAAACGGATCCACCTATCACAAAGCAACAGGGGGAAAAATTTCTTAGGAATCCACCTTGATAATAGACTAAAAATTTCATACACATATACAACAAATTTCTAAGAAAATTTCCAAGACTGTAGCTTTACTATCGAAGATACGGTACTATTTCCACAGCCCAGCCCTCCTGGCCCATATCACTCTCTTATTTCCCCCTATCTCCCTAGGGAATTTGTGCATGGGGCTCAACAACAATTAAACCATCTCAGACCACTAATTACCCAACAAAAAGGCTGCAGTTAGAATGATAACAAATTCTCACTACAGGCGCACAAATCCACCAATATTCAATACACTAAACCTACTCCACCATACAAAACATCCATACTTATTACTGCACCTATTACATACATAGAACACTTAACTCTGATATTAACCCTCCCCCCAAAAAATCTCCTTGCCACCTCAACAGAACACATGACCATAACACAAGGCACAGATCACTCTTTGATGTTCTCGTGTTCATCTCAAAACTATGCAAAAACTCAATGCACATAAAGGGCCCTAAAAACTGAATTCATTACCTGTAAATATAAAAGAAACACTACCTGTTTATAAATTCAAGTCTCTACTCAAAGATCACTTACTCACCCAAAACCAAATAAATACTGAATAACTGAACCTTATAAATTGTATATCTTAAATGTTTCTCACAATTATATCACATAAATGTTAAACCTAAAACCGAATCTAACTTTATTATTTTTTAAATACACTACCTAACAGAATCCTTCATATGACTGAATGCAACCATATGACCTGTCTTTGTAATACTCACTTGTGCTTTATAGTAATCTGTTTACATTAATGTTTTATCACTGAATTCATCATTGCTTAGTTAATCTTAAGTTAATTTTAAGCCAGCCCGTAATGCTATGCATAGTATAAGTGGCTTTGGCATGCTGCTCTTATCTGTATTTTTTTGTACCTCTGTATGTGTGCTCAAATTTATAATAAATAAATAAATATCTGCTACCAGAGATACTGATCTTTCTCTTCACAGTAAATTAATAGGACTTTTGCATTTGACTTTAAAATATTTAGCATACAGTAATATTTTGCTAATAGTGTGTGCCTAGTATGATTACTGTATCTCTGTATACATATACAGGTACATGTATGCTTCATTATGTTTAACATTGTATTTCAATACAGGTACGCTTCATCATGGTTCCTGACATTGTTTTCCACCACCCTGCCTCAACCTCTTGCATGCCGTGTAATGGACTGCTTCTTGGTGGATGGTATAGAAGTTATATTCCGGACAGCTCTATCCTGCCTCACACTCGGCAAAGAAGATCTCTTCTGTATGGACATGGAGGGAATGCTCAAGGTGAAGAAAATTATGTTATTATGATATGCCAAAGTAACTGATTTGTAAGGTGTATTCTTGGACCTCCTACTTTCGTGATAATTTTCTCATTATGGTGTTTGAGATATAGATGTTAACACAGTAGGTTTAATATATATATACAGTGGACCCTCCCTTTTCGACGATCTCTGTTATCGCCGATTTTCGTTTTTGCTGACTTCTTTCGTCAAAATATTGGTTCCGTCATCGTCGATTTCCTCCGTTTCCATCGATGGTATGGAACCTGTCCAGTGCGAGCACGCACACAAAGCCGCCTCCCACACATTCTCAGTCAGTGTCACGTTTCTTGGTGAATGAACATATCCTGTGAGGTCATATGAAACATTTCGTAATAATCCATTTTTTTTTGGCACTTGTTTATTGTGTGTGATTGCTAAATAAGCCACCATGGCCCAAAATAAAGCTCTAGTGCCAGTCCTATGGTAAAGGAAGTGAGGAACACCGTAGAAATGAAAAAAGAAATCGTTTAAAAATATGATAGTGGCATACACATTGCCAAACTCGGCAGGTTGTACAGAAAGGCGCCATCAATCATCAGCTCCATTGTGGCAAAGAGAAAAGAAATCATGGAAGCTGATGTTGCAAAAGGGGTGAATGTGATAACGAAACAGAGATCCCAAACAATTACAGAAGTGGAGAAATTGTTGTTGGTTCATATCAGAGAGAAAGAGTTAGCAGGAGATAGTGTTGTGCAGTCGATAATTTGCGAAAAAGCAAGGCAGTTGCATGTTGATCTCATAAAGAAACTGCCTGTAATAAGTGCTGATGTTGGTGAATTTAAGGCCAGCCAAGGCCAGTGTTGTAAGGCATGGTGAGGCTGCCAGTTCAGACAAACATGCGGCTGAAAAATTCATGCGGGAATTCAAAGGTTATGTAGAGGCTGAAAAATTCCAACCCCAACAAGTGTCCAGTTGTGACGAAACAGGCCTGTTTTGGAAGAAAATGCCAAAGAGGACCTATATCATACAGGAGGAAAAGGCACTCCCAGGACACAAGCCTATAAAAGATTGGCTAACTCTTGTGTGGTAATGCTAGTGGGAATTTCAAAGTGAAGCCTTTACTGGTGTATCACTCTGAAAATCCCAGAGTGTTCAAGAAAAACAGTGTTGTCAAGAGTAAATTGTGTGTGATGTGGAAGGCAAACAGTAGGGCATGGGTCACGAGGGAAATTTTCCTGGAATGGTTCAATGAAGTGTTTGGCCCAAGTGTGAAGAAATACCTCCTGGATAATAAATTGCCACTCCAGTGCCTCCTGTTAATGGACAATGCTCCTGCTCATCTTCCAGACTTGGAAGACTAATTGTCTAAGGAATTCAGTTTTGTAACATTGAAGTTCTTGCCTCCTAACACCACTCCTCTCATCCAGCCCATGGACCAACAGATCATTGCAAACTTCAAAAAACTGTACACCAAAGTAATGTTTTAAAGGTGCTTTGACATAACCTTGGACTCGGAATTGACTCTAAGAGAGTTCTGGAGGAATTACCTTCAATATCTTCCTCTGCATAAGCCTTATAGATAAGGCTTGGCAGGGAGTGACTTCAAGGACGATGAACTCTGCTTGGGGAAAATTGTGCCCAGATTGTGTCCAAAAGAAGGATTTTGAAGGGTTTGAGGCTGACCCTGTTGACCCTACACCTGTTGCACAATCAATTGTGGCACTGGGGAATTCCATGGGGTTGGATGTGAGTGGCCAGGATGTGGAAGAGTTGGTGGAGGACCACAATAGAGCTAACCACTGATGAGCTGCAAGAGCTTCATCTGCAACAGCAACAGACCACAGCTCAGGAAATTTGCTTCAGAGGAGGAGGAAGAGAGATGGAAGAAGGTGCCTTCTTCAGAAATTAAGGAAATTTGTGCAATGTGAACTAGGGTGCATTCATTTGTGGAGGAACATTACCCTGAGAAAGCTCTGTTGCAGTCCATGCTGGCAACTTTTACAGTGACAGTGCTGTCCCATTTTAGGCAAATCTTACAGACACCAGAAACGCACCTCTCTGGACCAATTTTTTGTTTGACAGGGGTCCAGTGACTCTCAAGCTGGTCCTAGTAGCATTAAAAAACAAAGGAGGGAAGTGACCCCAGATAAGAACTTGCTACCTAGAGTCCTTATGGAGGGTTATTTCTCTTCCAAACAATAACCTCTCTTCCCTCTCCCCTCCTCCCTGTCTTCCATCCATCAACAACAGCCTTCAATAAAGGTAAGTGTCATGTTGAATTCATTCTTTTGTGCATGTAAATCTATCTTTAAGGTAAAAAAAATTTTTTTTGTTAATACTTCTGGGTGTCTGGAACTGATTAATTGGATTTACATTATTTCTTATGGGGAAAATGGTTTCAGTTTTCACCGATCTCTCCAGAATGGATTAAACATGAAAACCGAGGGTCCACTGTATATATATTTGGCTATTACTGCATAAGGTAAATTAGTACTGGATAGGTTTGATAATTGGTCATTTATATTTGTGTAAATCTGACAGTAAGTTATTGCCCAAAAATATAATCCTCCTGCTGAAAGGTTAATGTTGTATTCTTGACAGTGTCTTTCTTTAAATGTTCACATATTATGGATCTAGTTTCCATTCTCTTAACCTCTAACCTGCATTCTCCCATAACTTTCTTGCTCATTTCTCTTTTGTACTTCTGTTAATAATAAAGTGCCTTGGCATATTTGTTTATTCTTTGTTTATTTTGCAGTATTTTCAACGCGATTTGCCGGCCAAATTTGAAGCAGACCCTGAAGGTTATTTTTCACTGGCTTACTCTCTACGGTATAATGTTAAGAAAATGAAGAAAATGGAGAAAGAATATACAGCAATGAAAACTAAAGAGCAAGAGGAGTTGGTGGAGCTAAAAGTAAATATATTTGAATATTATCACAATGCAAATGCTCTTTGACTTACGATGGTTTGACTTGCAATATTTCGACTTTATGATGGTGCAAAAGCAATTACTTTGGAAATGAAACTTAAGATAATTGCCCATCATGAAGGTGGCAAGTCCCTAACTTGCATTCATTTATTTACTTTTCAATACTGGTACTTACATGCAGTAATTATTTGTTTATTTACTTATTCAGTGACAGAAGTTATTTATTGGCTTATTTATTTAGCATATCACATTTATATTCGATTTATGACGGGTTCATTGGAATGTAACCCTCATCGTATATTGAGGAGCACCTGTATTGTACAGTAATGATTGATTCAGTATCTGGGCTTTTCTTCGTTTTTGCAAGAATCATCTTTAAATCACCTTGTTTACTGAATTACAAGATTGTTGATATACATACATATACTGTACCTGTAAGTATTATACCATCATTGCCTATACATCACTACACTGTGATCATGTAGGCTTCATCAGTAGTCAATGAATGGAGTACAGGCAATCCACTGATTCTCCAGCACTCCTTGGTTCCATAGCCTTGTCAAGTTATCCATTTTACCTAACATCAGAGGTCACATAATTTAACAATACACCACTGATCCACTTTCGACTACCGTCCACATGATGGGTATGGGGTGCATAATAAAGATACGTAAATACTGTACTACATGACATAGTTGAGATGCCAAGTGCAGTATTTAGAATGTATTCTTTAAGACTCAATAGTGTCTAATATTTTGGATTCAGGTAGAATTGCAGTACAGTAGAACCCCCATATCCACTAATTCAGTATCCACGGTTTCAGTTATCCACAGTTTACTGTGGCCCCAAAAAAAACGTCAATTTTGCATAATAATGTCTCTCAGAGCACAGAAGTAGTGAAGCTGGCAGTTCTTCAAATCTTAAGAGAAGCTATAAAGTGCTTCCCATCAGTGAAAAAGTGATAGTTCTCCACTTATTGTGCATAATTTATCAATTAAACTTTATAATAGGTATGTGTAGGACTTGTATATAGAGCTTACTATTATCCATGGCAGGTCCTTGGAATGTAGCCCTTGCAGATACAGGGGTCCTACTGTATATTGGTTACTTATTAACCCTTTGACTGTCGCGGCCGTATATATACGTTTTACGAGGTGCCGTGTTTGACGTATATTTACTCATAAATTCTAGCGGCTTCAAATCAAGCAGGAGAAAGCTGGTAGGCCCACATGTGAGAGAATGGGTCTGTGTGGTCAGTGTGCACCATATAAAAAAAATCCTGGAGCACGCAGTGCATAATGAGAAAAAAAAAACTCCGACCGTTTTTTTTAATTAAAATGCCGACTTTGTGGTCTATTTTCGTATAGTATTTATGGTTGTATTCTCGTTTTCTTGGTCTCATTTGATAGAATGGAAAACATATTACAGAAATAGAGGTGATTTTGATTGATTTTACTATAAAAAGAACCTAGAAATGGAGCTCAAAGTAGGGGAAATGTTTGATTTTTGCCAATGTTCAAAAGTAAACAAATGATGCCATTGTCCAATAAATGTCCAACTAGCCATTCTAATATGCAGTCATGAATGGGTTGATGTTATTTATACAGTTATTACAGCATTGCAGTAGTCTGCATAATAGTAAGTCTAATATTTTTTGTTTGAATAAAAATTCAAAATAGAAAGCAAGAGTAATATCAGAAGGGCCTGGAGACGTGACTGATGAACAAAGAAAATGTTATTTTAGAGCCAGGAATGTTTGCATTGTTCATTCTGGACCTTATTTTGAAATTGTCATATTTTTTAGTTTTCGTGAAATTGGCCAAATTGCAAATTTCTGACCACATTATTAGGTAGTTGAAATCAGTAAATGGGCAGTTTCTTGTATTCAATCGATAGAAAAAATGAAGTTCTAAAGAAATAGCTATGAGTTTGGGCGACTGGAACAATGGAATTAGCCGAAAATAGGGCTCAAAGTGGGCGAAATCGCCGATTTGTAAACAGCGCCGAGGTCGCTAACTTCACGAGAGCATAATTCCGTCAGTTTTCCATCAAATTTCGTTATTTTGGTGTCATTACAATCGGGAAAAGATTCTCTATCATTTCATAAGAAAAAATAATTTTTTTTTTTTAAATTTTGCGACACCAGGAGACACCTCAGGATTGGGGGTTGCGTCAGTCAAAGGGTTAAAAGTTACAGGATCTCAAAAAATTATAAATTATTAAATCCTTTTCCCTTTCAGAGACTGAGAACTGAAAACAGATTACTACGTCAAAGAATAGATTGTCTGGAGGCAGAATCGTCAGCTCTTGCAGACAGACTTATACAGGGCCAGGTTTCTCGAGCAGAGGAGGCAGAACATAATTTTGCAATTAAGGTATTTGTGAGAAAGTTTGTAAGTGTGCGTAATTTGTTGGTATATTGTTGTAGCCATATAGTGTGTTTAGTAATTGATTGTGCTGAAATATTCCCTGTCTGTTCTTTCAGCGGGAGCTTGCTGCTCTGAGGCAGCATGATGGGGAGACCATGGAACACTTAATGGATGCTAGAGATAAAATACGGAAATTAACTGGAATGATCGAGGAGGTATGTCGTCCCATAATGTACTGAATTTTTTTGACCACATTTCAGTTTTCCTGTAATATGCTATAGGACAGAAGAAAAACCTATCTGTAAATTTCTATCCTAACTTCTGTTGGTATAAGGTAGATTTGAAAGCATGTGTTGTTGATATTTTAAGGTAATGTAAAATTGGTGCTGAGGTGGTTTTGAAAGCCTTCTTCTTCTTTATAATGTAGTGCGAGTGCAATTCTGAACTTTGCAACCTATCTCCTTGTCAGTTTTTTTTTCCCGCATATGTTTGTAGGTACAAAGAAGATAAAATAAATTCCCTCAATCCATAAGAACACCGTGCTATATTTAAGACTGATAAGTGAATCGAGCAACAAATGCATCTTGTATCTCAAACAATCCAATTGTTGTATTAGTCATTTGTTCTGTTTGTTTCATTTCAATTAATCTGATTTTCTTGATTAGTGTAACAGCTGTGGATGCCAGTACTTCACCTAATACTTAGACATTTAAATTGGTAATTTCTTCAGAATTGTTCTTCTCGCGAGTCATCATTGGCAGAACTAATGGTTAAAGAGGAGGAGCTGAGACAAAAAGAAGAGCTAGTCAAGTGTCTTCAAGAGGAGCTAGTTCAGGTGAGGCTTCTTTCCCATTTCTTTCAACAAACTGGCTGTATCCCACCGAGGCAGGGTGGCCCAAAAAGAAAAAGGAAAGTTTCTCTTTTTAAATTCAGTAATTTATACAGGAGAAGGAGTTACTAGCCCCTTGCTCCTGGCATTTTAGCCACCTCTTACAGCACACATGGCTTACGGAGGAAGAATTCTGTTCCACTTCCCCATGGAGATCTTCTTTCTTTCAACACACTGGGTGTATCCCACAGAGGCGAGGTGGCCCAAAAGGAAAAACAAAGGTTTCTCCTTTCACATTTAGTAATATATACAGGAGAAGGGGTTACTAGCCCCTTGCTCCCGGCATTTTAGTCGCCTCTTATGACACACATGGCTTATGGAGGAAGAATTCTGTTCCACTTCCCCATGGAGATAACAGGAAATAAACAAGAACAAGTAAGAAAATAGAAGAAAACCCAGAGGAGTGTGTGTGTATATATACATATGCTTGTACATGTATGTGTAGTGTGACCTAAGTGTAAGAAGTAGTAGCAAGACATACCTGAAATCTTGCATGTTAATGAGACAGAAAAAAGACACCAGCAATCCTACCATCATGTAAAACAATTACTGGTTTTCAGGTGAGGCTGTTTACAAAATTCATGACAGCGAAGTGTTTTGAAGTATGTTAGTTGTTTGTGTATCTCATAATTCAAGTGGGTTAAAAGGGAAGTTAAAGACAGAAGTAATGTATAGGAAGGTTTGTACCACCATAGGAAAATGGAGAGTATATTGTGAAAGTTGTTAGATATAGATGATGAAATGGGGTAGTAATCAGGTTGACCTGTGGATAAAGCAGCTGGGATGGATAGGATTAATACTGAGGTGTTGGAAGTGCAGATCTGGTTTTGGGAAAGTTAATGCATTTGTTAATTGTATACATGTATGAAAGAAGGAAAGGTATGTGAGGAATAGTAGGGAGCATACATACTTTTATATAAAGGGAAAGACAACAGAAAAGAGTGTAAGAATTATAAATAAACAAGTGTTGAATGTACTGCAAAAGATACAGGAAAATTTACTATTGAAAAAATTATAAAGAAGATGAAGCAGAAATGCAGACGAGTAAGATGGATGTAGGAAGAGAAGGTGCATGAATGAAGTGTTTGTATTTAACTACATACAGTAATCAGTGAGGTAAGAAGCCTTGAAGTTTGAGAACCATGTTAATAAATATGGTGAAAAATGGTTTGGTAGTACCAACAAGATGTGGAAAAAGACATGTACAGGTCAGGGCATTTATTGGAAGAAACATTTCACCATGAGTGACTTATTAGGACTGAAGAAGCCACTCATGGCAAAACATTTCCTGTAATAAATGTCCTGAACTGTATATAAGTCTTTTTTTCACAATAAATGCAGTATTCAACCTCAAATATTGTTCACAGGTGAGGTTAAAGACAGCCGAGGCAGAAGCAACCATCCGAGATCTCAGAGCCAGAATCCAGGAACTGGAGGAAGAACAGAAGAAGCTGAGAGAGGCAACCCCAGAACATTCAGTAGCTCATCTACAAGAAGAACTAATTGCTGTACGATTACGGGAGGCGGAAGCCAACTTAGCCCTTAAAGATCTCAGGCATAGAGTTCAAGAGCTTACACAGCTTTGGACAAAACATGTTCAGGTAAGACTTTTTTTTTTTTTTTTTTTAACACATCAGCGGTTTCCCACCAAGGCAGGGTGGCCCGAAAAAAGAAAAACTTTAGTCATCATTCACTCCATCACTGTCTTGCCAGAGGCATGCTTACACTACAGTTATAAAACTGCAACATTAACACCCCTCCTTCTCTGATATTCTACAATTTGTATAAATGTTGAACACAGACTTGGTTTTCAGGGAACAAATGGGCAGTGGAGGGGCTGACCATTTTTACATTGATGGTTCTTGTCATTATCTTTAGCCCAGTCAGTGGGCTGCTATATTTCCCACCACTTAGACCTCTGAATGACCATGTTTTACTCCTTTCTTCTCTCTGTATGTGTTTTTCTTTTTATTATATCATGTACTGTTGCAGATCATACAGGGTATGTTTATTGGGACATTCATTGGTATTTCCTTGCATGTTCTTGTTTCAAACAAAGGGCATCTGTATCATTTTTTGGGAAGAATCTAAACACACTATGTATGATAATCTATGTGTATGTAACTATATTTGTGTATACCTGAATAAACTTACTTACACACATTCTGTATTTTATAACACTTGGAAGTACAAGTAAGTGAGACTTATGCTGTTACAATGTGTATACTGCATCAAAGATGCAGCATACACATATTGAATAAACATAATAACTACTGAAATCTTAATACTAATGCGAGGTAGTCAAGCATGGCTTACGGAAGAAGAATTCTGTTCCACTTCCCCATGGAGATAAGAGGAAATAAACAAGAACAAGAACTAGTAAGAAGAAAACCCAGATGGGTGTGTGTATATATATGCATGTGTAATGTGACCTAAGTGTAAGTAGAAGTGGCAAGATGTTCCTGAAATCTTGCATGTTAATGAGACAGAAAAAAAAGACACCAGCAATCCTACCATCATTCAAAACAATTACAGGCTTCCATTTTACACTTGCTTGGCAGGACGGTAGTACCTCCTGGGTGGTGGCTGTCTACCAACCTACTACCTAGGGACATGCATATTCATCCTAATCTCTTTCTTTCAACACGCTGGCCGTATCCCACCGAGGCGGGGTGGCCCAAAAGGAAAAACGAAAGTTTCTCCTTTTTCATTTAGTAATATATACAGGAGAAGGGGTTACTAGCCCCTTGCTCCTGGCATTTTAGTCGCCTCTTACAACACGCATGGCTTACGGAGGAAGAATTCTGTTCCACTTCCCCATGGAGGTAAGAGGAAATGAACAAGAACTAGAAAGAAAATCCAGTGGGGTGCGTGTATATATGCTTATACATGTATGTGAAGTGTGACCTAAGTGTAAGTAGAAGTAGCAAGATGTACCTGAAATCTTGCATGTGTATGAGACAGAATAAAAAGACACCAGCAATCCTACCATCATTCAAAACAATTAAAGGTTTCCATTTTACACTAGCTTGGCAGGACGGTAGTACCCCCTGGGTGGTGGCTGTCTACCAACCTACTACGTACCTAGGAACATGCATATTCATCCTAATATAAACATTAATATTATCTTATCCCTCACTACCACATATGCCATGATATCTGAGAAAGGACAGCATGCTAGCACCATACAAGCCAGGGGCTGTAACATCACTCACAGTCTTCCCAGGAAAATTTGAAGAATTGGTAATCTCATATATAGCAGCAGTCAGCAGTGTGGTTGTAATTGAATGACAACAGTTTAAGTGTTATTTTTGTTACAGGACCAACATGGAGATAAGAGTGAGGCAGCAAAACCTGATGTAACAAGCACACCAAGCAAAAAACTTGGCCTCTTCTGGGATAGATCTAATGAAGCTGCCAAGCTGGAGGAGGAACTCATGACCACCAAACTACATGAGACAGCAGCTGTAGCAGAGCTTAAAGAGGCCAGATTAAAGGTCAGTATTATATATTATTTTTATTTATTGGACTGGGTTCATTCCATGTTAATAATAGGGATCATTGTTGATAGTAATAAAATACACTAATAATAATAATAATAATAATAATTAGTAGTAGTAGTATATTGTACCTCAACAGCAAAATAATTACTATATGAAAATATTAGTTATAAATACCATACAAGGAAGGTTTCTAAACATATTTTATTCTGGAATTGTTTTGCATTATATATAAGTACTACATTTTCCTTAGTTTGCAACAAAATTGCTGCTAGAAACTTAATGTGGAAAGATTTTTTCACTATTTATTTGAACTCTTAGCACAGTAGTAAATAGAGTAATATACTCTCATTGTACAGGTTATGGAGCTTGAGACAGCAGTGCAAGTATCAACTAACCAGATGAAGCGACAAGAGGAGGAGAACAAGAGGCTACAAGAAGCTCTAGACGCTGCTGAAGCTAATATTCGCACTATGCAGTCTCAGCTCGGTGATCACAAGAGAAAATACACTGACCTTGAAAGTCAGGTTTGTAGACAAACTTTTATTATGTATCATGTGTCCTCTTTGAATTTTTATTTTATTCTTTATTAAAGTATGCTGATGTCTCACAGGTCTTGCATAATCATGAGTGTCAATTTAGAATAATCTGTTAAGGATTATTTTAACCTGTTAGATTATGGCTGACATTTTATAAATCCTGTGCTATATTTTATGCAAAGTGTACTTTCAGATGAAAGAGGAGAAGATGCTGGCAAGAATTCGTGAAGCTGAGAAATCACAGAGCTTAGCTGAGCTAACACAGAAAATTTCCTCATTAGAATATAAGGTAAATAAAATTTGACCACTTATTCCATATATTTGCAGTATCTGCCAAATTGTTCCTCTATCCATTAATTTTGATAACATTTTAAGCTTTTATCCATGGGGAAGTGGAGCAGAATCCTTCTGTAAGCCATGTGTGTAGTAAGAGGCAACTAAAATGCCAGGAGCAAGGGGATAGTAACCCCCTTCTCGTGTAAATTACTAAATGTAAAAATAAGAAACACTTTCATTTCTTCTTCTGGTCACCCTGCCTTGGTGGGAGACAGCCAGTGTGTTAAAAAATAAATTTAAACTGTTTCAGAACCAGGAATTAGTTACGGAAGGTGAAGTATCCCGGGTGGGCGGCAGTGACAGTGATCAGGTTCCCCGACTCCAGGATAAAGTTGCTGAACTCCAGTCAGAGGTAAGGCACCTGACATAAGTATTACTAAATCTATGGTACTTGTTAAGAGGCTGCAGTCTGCCAGTCTTGCAAGAAAGGCTTTAGAAGTGTGTCACTGGAAAGAAAAATGATTTTGAAGCCTTGGCAAAAAATTGGATGTGTATAGTTGAAGGTTCTGTGCAGTTTGCATTATTGAACAGCTGAAATGAGCATTTCCCAAGCACAGTCCAATAATGCAAAGTGGAATAGACATATACATTGTGCAATGTAAATGTATATGGAGTCTGTAATATTGATACATCAGACTTTATTGAGATGAGCAGTTGCTTAGTATTTAGTATTAATATTACAGAGTTCCATTAAAGTTTGTGATATTGAATAGTTGGACACTTGCACACTGCACCCAAATTTTGTTTCCACTAATTTTGGTTCTTGTGTTGTAAAAGGAGGATAAATTTAATCTTGATAATTTTTATAGAATTTATGAAGAGCATAATGTTCATAGTGTCAAAGAAAATACAGGAACCATTATCACTTGCCATTTACCTCACTGGTCACATTTTCCAGCTTTATGCAGCAAAACCTCACTCACCAACACATGCTTTATATCTCACAGCTTCAATGCATCTCCATACAGTATCACCACAGCTATAGATTTTACAAATAATTCATTGAGTTTGTGAACACACACACACATGTACATCTGTTGATAGCAATAAACCTTCTTTTAAACTGACATTGCTATTTAACATAGATAGTGAGATAGAAGTCAAAGTATCATTGTTTCTTATATTCTGTTTATTCTCATACACAGTTTATGGGAGTTGGTAATCTTGTTTTCTTATAGAAGAAAAACGGTAATAGATATACACCTTTGATATATTTTTAAAATAATTGTAGAATAAGGCAGTCTTTGAACAATATCTAAAGGCAGATTTGCTGTATAATTACTTAACACTGTATTCATGAAGCAGTCACTCCTTATAAGTCTTAAGAATCTAGCTAACTTTCCGTTGCCCTCAGTCTTGGGAAAGGTTGTAAAATAATGCAGTACTGTATTTGATTTATTTTTATTATTTACCTTTGCTCATTTATTTACTACTACCATCAGTTTCTCTTAGGCTAGTTTAGTTTTCAATGACCTTAATACCTGCCTGTTTTATCCACTGCACCTCAAGAAAAGCTCACGCGTATTAAAATAATTAAATCTCTTTAATTTATAGTTTGTCAGTGGCGGCTCGTAGCGCCAATAATACCTATACTATTGTACCACATCAAACTTCTATTTTTAATAATTTTTATCTCGTTTCACAAAAAATAAAAATTCGCTTATATTTTGAAAACAACATACGACAGATTTTTCCTGTAATATATTTGTCAGTTGCAAATTATTTTAGCGTAAGGTTGATGAAGTCATATGTCTGGCAGTGTGCATCTGGGGGAACTGCAGCTCCTATGGACGAGCCGTCACTGGTTTTAGTTATAGATGCAATGCAAAATCGCTTATTAGTGTACATGGTATATTTATGAGGAGCTGCTGAATAACTCTTATCCATGTGCTTATGCTTGCAATTTCCATCCTATGTCTTTGTGGTTAGTATCATTACCAGGATGGTGATTCATTATTTCAGTTAGAGGATTACTCATTTCCATAGATAACTTTCTATTACATCAACTTAAACAAAAGTCAGATTTTGACTTGCCGGTATTTTAAAACAATTGCTCTCTCTCCTATCCAGCTCGACCAACCTACATTACATATTTACACTTGAGATATGCTGAAGATTTGTAGGGTAACCTTAAGTTCGTTTTGTTGACATGCTTTTCTTTGTACATACTGCACTAAAATTTTGTTTGGAAATATATAGATTTCTTTTACTATAACACCAAGCTGAGTGACTGCCTCACCAACCAAGTCTTCTAATTCTACTTACTTAATTAGTTCTTTGTCACATATGTAATATCACTTTTAACCATGGTTTTCTAACACATTTGAACCTGCAGCCAACAGAGAAGTAAGGACAGCGTAAGTGCTTTGGCATTAGTTATGCATGACCACTTGTGCAATAAGATGTAGAAACACCATCTTGGTGTTTGACATGCATGACAAACTTGCCTGCTGCTTGTCTCCTTTGATAACCAACATTTTTTTACCAGTTAGTTGTTATAATTGTTGAATTTACAAACATGTACTTTAGTTTAGTTGGTGTTGTGTTGTTAACAGAGGTTGACACTAACAGCATTTCTACCACAATTAATACACATGCAAGAAGGCCCAGCATATACAGCACCCGTTTTTTGGTGTTCCATGTTTTCATTGGCTTCAAATTGAGCCATTGTTCAATTTCGTTGACTTGATTGAAAGCCAATGAAAATGTGGAACACCAAAAAGAGGTGCTATATATATGTGACCCTCCTGTACAAGGATGTGTTTATTGAAAGGTGAGGCACCTTAATGTAAAGTAGGGAAGCCTTGCTGGCTACATATTAAGACAGTGTTTTTCTGACCATGCATGCTCTTAAAATGGAAGGGAACTGTCAGTAGTTCAAGACTCGTCTCTTTTAAATAATGTAAAACATAAATGGTGACCTGTTGTACAACTACTGTCGTTTACCATATAATATAGGTTTTTCTGTGTGTGCGCATCAGTTTTGCGAGTGTACACATATGTATGTATGTACTCTGATTTGTCCTTATGGATTTGTGAGGTCTCCGCTTGAGGCATTGTCAACTGGTTTCTGGTTACCTGAGCACTATTGCATCTACTAAAACTGTAGTTTTAAGTCTATCAGATAATGTTGAAATTTCCAGTGGTTGCCTACCTGCTCTTGTATTCCATTTCATTATTATACCACACTGTGGGAAAAAATAACCTGATAGCTATTCAACACAACTTTCAGTTTACAGCTGAAACTGCTTCTGTGTTGATGTTCCTCATGTTTATATAGGTGTAGACACAACACGTATGTACAGCATTTCTTATTTTGGTCTAATATACATTGAGAGTACCTTTTCTGTTTTAGCATTTCATCCTCTAAAAGTTGTTGGTACCTCAATACTCTTGCTACATTTCCCTTAAATTACATCACTTTACAAAGGATTAACTTAATTCCTTTACATTACATTAACTTATAGCATACCTCTATTACTAGATTTCCTCATTTTATTCACTTCTGCATTAGGCTCTTTACATCATCTGAAAACAAATTAATATTATACTATTCCTTTTAGCTAATTGCGTCTTCTTCTTTCAACAAACCGGCCGTATCCCACCAACTTGGCAGGGTGGCCCAAAAAGAAAGAGAAAAGTAGCTAGTTACTTACAGTATATAAATTAGAAACGCAATCAGTACCAGCACTGATTCTTGTGGCAACATTTTCCTTTGGGGGGCATGTCTATCAGAAGCAGAAAATGTTACTGCCACCGTAATAGTTTGCCTTTTATTCTTACTCCATTTTGTAGTTTCCAGATTGTCACTTATTAGGAATTCTAAATAGAAAGTAATTTTTTTTAAATCGAAGTAAATGTAATACAGTGGTACCTTGGCATATGAACAACTCCCAACTCGAACAATTATGCAAGTGTATTTTTGGGGGTCTGAAACGGATGAATGTAATTTACATTATTCCTTGTGGGAACAAATTCATTCGGTATAGGCACTCGAACAGCCTTCTGGAACGAATTAAGTTCATATCCTGAGGTACCACTGTATGCTCATCCATTTTTTCTTGAATTACTGCAACTGTCACACCGGAATTGGGTAGGAAATTGCTGATGAAAACCGAACTGTTAATTAGCAGGGATTTGCTCTGATGGTGTTTTGTCCACTTTAATTGCTTTGCCAGGTACATTTACAATGATGATTGTCTGCCAGACAGGCCTATAGTTAAATTTTGTGCAATTTTTTATTTGTCTGCCACTTTACTTTCTTATAATAAAATATTATAAATTGTCCAGAATGGACAGCTTAGTTCTGCACATTATTTTAACACTTATGGTGCTACTTAGTCTTTTTTTATTATTATTCAGTGCTTTTGCAATTTATCAATCAAATTCTCAAGGAAGTGTGTGAATAAAATTGTCAATAGGTAAACTGTATACAGGAGGATTATAGTTTACCTGTGGAGGTGACTTGGCTATATATATATGACAGTCTTATCAGTATAGCCTAAAGCTTTTACTTACAATATTATGAATACATCTGGCTTATATAGGCCTACTGGACTAGGCACAGATCATAGTCAGCACTAGCTGTTACACATGACGATTTTGTGTTTTTTTTATCCATCAATTTGTACAAAACACTTTTCTTAGTTTTTAACCAATTGCTAGAATGATTAGGTTTTTAAATGCATAAACATTGTGTTAGAATCTTAGCCAGATCTAATGATCAGTTCTACACATTACAATAGGAACTGCCTCTTTTGCAGTTTTTACATGTTACTGATCTATAGTAGACTTCGAAGTAGAAATCGTCTGGTTATGCCAAGTAATATTGCCATGTGGATGATGAAGCATGTTTATGTCCCAAGAATAAAGATTTAAATAAGTTTCCTCTTGAATTATTCTAGCTCTGTCTACAGTATTTATTGCTGAGGTTAAGCTGAATATATCATTTCTAAATACAATATTAAAAAGGATCACAAATGTAAATTGAAAATGTGTAGAAAGTCAACTATTGTTCTTGAGAACTCTGTTTTCATGTAACCCATAATTCATAGATGATGAAATACAGTCAGACCGAAATGTCATCATAAGTTTCTTTCTCTTATGTGTGGGTTATTTGTGCACAGCAATAAAAATATACGAGAGAGATTTTAAAGCAAATTCCCAAAAACTGTTTATTGATAAATTGTTGAAACTTTCAGGGAGCACTGACAATCCAAAACATAAAATACCATATAAAATGCAACCAAAAATATTTTTATACAGTAAACCCCCCGTATCCACTGCGTCAGTATCTGCAATTTCAGTTATCCATGGTTTACTGAGGCCCTTAATTATGCCCCCAAAGTGCAGAAGTTGTGATGGTGGCAGTTGTTCAAAGCGTAAGAGAAGTTGTGAAATGCTTCCCATCAGTGAAAATATAATAATTCTAGACATTTTGCATAATTTATCAAACTTCATCATGGGTATGTATGTAAATGAAAAATGACTCATAAATAGGGTTTGCTATTATCCACAGTAGTTCTTGGAATGTATCCTCCTTGGATACAGGGGTCCTACTGTACTATATCATGTAAAATGTCTTAAAATTCATAGTTTTAACATCAGTGCTGTATTTTAAATCTGCCCTAAAGAGAGCTTTCTGATTAAGAATTCCTCCAAGAATATTCTACAGGTTCTCATGTGAAAAATTTTATGTAGGACAGACTGGAAAAAAGTGTCTAAGTAAGATTAAAATATAGCATTTGATTATGATCAGGATTTTAATGCTTTGTTTATTTTTGTAAAGAATTTTAACGATTTTCTTGAGCGATTAAGAAGTTAAAGTAATTGTAATAGGCAGATCATTTGTTGAACAAAATAGAATAATCAAATTGTAATCTGAATGCAAGTCCAGGGCTTTATAAGGCAGACTTATTCATAATGTCCATAAAAATATTAGGCATACGTATTAGCAGATAGTCATTTTTTCACCTGACGAGTCTAGTCCATAGGTGTGGTGGCCACCTGTTGCTAATTAATTTCATTTAATGTGTTCCTTGAGAATGTTGGAATTTTTGCATCATGGTAAAATTGTGTAATATATATATATATTATGATAAAGTTCCACCAGAATGTAAGTTAATATCCTGTGGTCCTCGCTTTGCACGAAGCCTTGTTTCCTTGAGATTTTCTTAACAATTTTAAAATTACCTTTAAAATTTCAATTCTTGTTTCCTAAATTTGTCATACTTTTATAAGTTTATTTTTGGAAAATATCAAAGCAAAGCTTTTTATATAAAAAGTTTTTAAAATAAGTTGGAATTAAAGAATTGGGCATGAAAGATTATGTTGAATGTTGTAAACATTAAAACATATTATTTGGGAAAATACTGATTAAATGTTGGACAGTAAAGCTTTACAAAAAAAATCCCCCATTAAATGCTGTAGGTATTAAGCAGCAACATAAGTGGTCAAAGCTGCAGAGGGTGGGGAAACTTCAGTAATATTCAGGTATATGGGCAATCACAAATGAGAAAATAAAAGCAGCAGTGCCAGAATATTAAAGGTTTCAAGTTTCTTGATAAGATTAGATAAATCATATATATTTAGTGAAAGATTAAGTTGGCCAGAAAGTTCTTATTTTCCTCTGGCAAGACAGTGATAGTGTGAATGATGGTGAAAATTTCTTTTTTGGGTCAGCCTGCCTTGGTAGGAGACGGCCAGCGTGTTAAAAAAAAAATAGACTTAAATGAGTGTTTTAAGAAAACGTGTGTATATACTGTACAGTAATCCCCCAGGTAATGAAAGGCATGTTACTGTATAATTGACTTAAGCCAAAAATTGCGCTCCCATAATTTCATCACAACTGCATTCCTGAACATCTGTGTTGGGTGTCTTGTACATTTACTGTTTAGATAAGGTTAAGAAAATGTTTATTTAGGTTACAGTCATTGGTACATAGTTATTTAGGTTAGTCTTTCGCATACTGTAAATGTATAAAGAATTTAACATGATGATTTACCTTTAGATTCTGTGCCTAGTTAAATTTTGTTTACATAATTGTTCACATTAGGAGCTAGTACACAACACACACACTAATACAGCATCAACCTCCATAACACGTATGACTAAAATAAATAATTTTTGACATTTAATGAAAGAAGGTATTATAGTTATGGTTTCATTAATACTTCACCAAAAGCTTGCACTTGGGAGAGGAACCTTATGGTGTTTGTCCATCTCTGACCATTGTCAGGTCACAACTAGGGAATGGAATAGAGAAAGCCTAAAGACAGTATGATAGAGGGTGCCCATTACTGTATCATCTTTAGGCTTTCTCTAATTTTCTCTCCCTAGTTATGACTTTTCAATTGTCCAGGACCAACTGAAACATTATCATGGAGCTTCTCTCCTAAGTGTGGGTTTTTGGTGAATTGTTCCAGCTACAGTATTGTGCTTTTTATTCTTCATTAATACTGTGCTGTATATAAGCAGTAAACTTTTTTTCAAAAATGATATTACAGTACAGTACAGCTGTTGCCTCACTCTGTGAATGATCTGCTTCAAGCTGTGTTAGTAAAGATTAAGGTTGTTTTGTAGTGTATTTATTTTTCTATAGAAGGTGACTAGATTATTACTACCACCTGGAACTTTCAGACAATGTTTATATTTGGAAAAATTATCAACTAAGATTTCACTACTACACATCACCAATTGGTATAACACTTCATGTATTTTGATGTCAAAACAAGGAAATTGGGTAAAAGATAAGGCAGTAAGTGCTGCAAGCCGTAGAATTTTTAAAAATATTACATTAAACACTGAAGAATGTGAGAATGAAAGGGATTTAACAGCTATTGAATCACAAGTTGGGAACCTATCAGTAGTACCTTTCTTAACTTTCTCAATTTTTAACTAGGTGAAAGCTCTGGCTTACATTGAAGATATTGCTAGGGTCAGGCTTTGAGCTGAGGTAGCTCTTAAATACAGCAATTGCAGGATATCTTGGTTTAGTTCTGTTGAAATCTTAAGTGTGATAGGAAGAGAAATTTCAAGCCATACTTGGTGTATGATAAAAGGTTACTATGAGATATAGTAGTATCCACTTTTTTAGAAATATTGCATAGTAATTAAAGATTAAGATTTTTTTTTTTGTCATGTTTAAATGCAGTGCATAGAGTTCAGGAAAATTAGTAAAAATAACTTGACAAATGAGCAAAATAGTTTCATTGGTACAGAATGACTTATTCTTTCCCGTTTAATAAATGAGCATTCAGTCCCCTCGATATTTTATGCTTTTCTATTAAATTTATCTGTAATGAATTACATATACAGTACAATAGGTATGAATAGTGAAATTGATGTTTCTTCCAAAAATCATTATTTGCATATTGTTTTAGATCTTGGAAAAAAAAAGGTGAAATTTATGTAAGCAGGGCAAGATGGGAACTGCATGGTTTGCTCGCAATTATAACTGCATGAATAATACCAGTTTCTATTTCTTGAATTATTACTTGCATACACATGTGTAGATGCATCTATTAAAATTAGATCAGATCTAAACTGAAGTCTGGTTTATTACATGTTTCATTCAGAAGTGTGTAAGCATGTATTATTTTGCATTGGAACTTGTACATATAATATGTAAATACTTATGTCTTTCTTTTTCAATCAGATTGCACGTCTCACTGCAATCAATCGACGACTGACACGCACTGTAAGTATGCAGAGGTTGGATATTGCAAGTGGACCAGAATCTGACATTGAGGACACAGAAGAATATAGATTATACTTGGAGGATTCAGATTCATCACCAAAGAAATATGAATATTCTATAAAAGGGGAGAATGGATTACTTGAACATGGAAGAGATGAAAGCAGAGTGAGAATGGCTTCTACATGTAGTGATAGATCAACACCCTCGCCTTCTAGGGAAACTGCGAACAGAAAAACATCACAGACTCTTGCAGATGCATTCCTTGAACAGTTACCAGAAGTCAGAAATTATGACGATGCATATCAAAATGGCTCTGCGACTCATGAAGAGAGAGGGGCATGCTAGTGAATCATATTTTGAACTTTTGTGTAAGGTGATTGCTAATATGCAACTAATGAAGTGGAAAGCTTTAAACCCTGAAGTAGATATAAGAACATTTTTATTGTACATAAAATTTAGGAAAGAAAAGTAATTGAACTGTGTCAACATTTTTTAAGTTAAGATGTAAACACAAGTCCTTGCATGTGGGACTTAAACATCAGTTGTCATGCATCTTATTGGATATTTGACATTAAGGCTAGTTCATCCATTTTATCCTGTGGACCATGTCAGTTTAGTGTGCATATTTATACTTTCATATATAAAGTATGAGATAATTCTAATGAAATTATTTAATGATTATTCTTGTGTCAGAAGTTTAGATAAAATATTTCTTGTTAACATTAGGAGATTGTGCGCATTGTTCTGGTTGGAGCAAGTAGCACACATGTCGATTGATTGAAGCTTATAATACTTTACCTCAGATTTCTTTACAGGAGGCTTAAACAGTTTGAAGATGTGCAGTATATATAAAACCATAGTATAATCTCTTCTCACATTGACACTGGATAGTTATGTGACCTAGGATGTCCATGATGTACCAGTGCTCAGTGATTACTCCAGCATACTGGAATCTCATGTTTTGCAGTTTTGAAAAAAAAAAATAGGTTAATACAAATGATGGAATGCTCTGACTGGAAAGTTAGAATTAAGCCATTATATTGTAGATTAGTGGTTTTAAAAATGGGTTACTGAGGTAAATTACAAGATACTTGACCAACTACCAGGCTGTAGCAATAGGCCATGCTTCACAAGTATTTATAGGCACAATCATTGTAAAGCTGTGATGTTTTCCTTGAGCCCTCACTTTCCCTAGGAGAAGGATGGCGAATGAAACCAAAACAAAGATATGTATTTATTTATTTTAGGTTTCTCTTTTGTATGTACTTACATTATGTATATATATATACTGTATGATATAATGGTCGAATTATTTAAAATCTTTTATTTCTTTTTAAGTGTATATTTGAGAAATATTATATAATTTTATTTCATACTACATCCTTTTTGAACAGTCTTCCTTATAATCATGAATGGGAGTGACAATCACAAGGTGCAGTCCATTGGGTTTTATTGTAAAGACTTTCATGACTTTCTGCATATATACTTATAGATTTTTTACTTTGCTGCAAATTCCTAATTTTTTACATTTTAAAACTAAGTTGCAACTATTCCAGAGGTGCTATATTTGCTCCTGTGATTGTGGGTTTATCTTGCTTTAAAACTGCTGTTACTAGATTCAAATTTTTTTTTTTTTTTCAATTTAGCAAGTGTTTATTGATATTAATGCAAAATAGTCTATGTAATTGCTCTTATAAGATTTGAGACTCGTATGCTTCAAAAAGGCTAGCTCTTGTATGTACGTGGCTTCATTGTTTATTATTGAATCACTATTACAGCTGTTATTTGCAAGCGTACTAGATCTGTACACAGGCACCCGTCACTTAGTAATAGAATTTATTAAAATACTCAATATTTCGATACTTAAATATCTAATAACGGGGAATTTGCACCTACTACTTGTTTTGGAATAGTCGGTAGGATCAAATTTCAAGATATGAACTATGTTCATGGCTAACTTGTTCTCATATCCTAGAAAATACTTGAAAGTCCCAATAAAATCTTTGATATTGAATGCATAAAGGAAGGACTTGTGCATATTAAATAGGGGATGATGACATTCCACAATGTGAAATGTATCTTTACAACAATGATACTCAAATAAAATATAAACATCAATAACTTGAGTTTCACTGTTCTTGACAGTAACTGATTACCAACTTGCGTAAGTCTGGACCTCATTTAATCAATTTTAAACTTTCATGGGTTGTAGCACTAGTCTATACTTTCTAGCATAGATGGGGATCTGCTAGGAAAAGGAAGCAAAATAACTATCATTCTCTTGCTACCTCCCTTCCCAGGAAAGTTTCAGTAGGTATCTATTTTTTTGGCACTGTGATATACTTAGTTTAAATGATCAAGATTTTTACATACATACAAAATTTTAAGGTCAAGATTCACTGAACCCTGGTCTACAGCAATAATACTTGTTCTCTACTGATCTTGTCACTGAATACAGAAATGCCTTAATGTATAAAGATATAAACTGACCTCGAAGGGGAGGGGTAAATGAATTGTACAGGGATAAAGGCTCTTTATTCAAACTCGCACTTAGTTTTTAAACCATAGTTTCGTATAGCCACAATGTATAACTGTTTAAAAAAAAAAATGAAATTTCCTTTAGCCAATCAATTATTGGTCATATTTAGTGCTCCCCAAAAACCATTAAGTGAAATAACTTTTTTCTCTCTCCAAAGCTCAAAATTTGTAGAACAGTGTAATTAGTGATCTAATTACCAGTGACATTTTTAACATAACAAATTCATAAGAAAGAATAATAAAAACTGTACTTAAATGTAGTAAACAACAGATATCCTGTGGATATCACTATTGTATGACTAGAATATTCAGCTAAAATTTCACAAAATAATTCTGTACCTTTATTTGTAGAGTGCTGATTTAGCACTTTTTTGTGAATAATTAAATGCTGAATGAATGACCTCCAGAATATAAACACGCAGCCGTACTTCGCCACACAATTCACATCTGGATACTGCATATAAAATTTATCAACAATTGTACTAGAAATAAACTATACTTTTTTAGGTAAACAATACTGACCACCTAAACATATAAGAAAATTATATTCACACACACACACAAAAAAGGCTCTAAATATATTAATGGCATACAATACCAAGTAGTAGATGAATAAAATATGTGCATTATTTCTATAAGGTTTTTGCTTTTTCACTCAAATGCAGAGTTGACTAATGTACAAGAGAGTTGAAGAAATAATCAATTCCTCAGCCTTGACAGTTGTTCAGTTCATATGATCAATGTTATGGAATGAATAAATTCTGTCAAGTCTGAGGAAGTGAACACCATCTCTTCAACTGTCTCAGTATATTAATCACCTTTGTAATTGACCAATATTATTTGTGGCAAGAAAATCTTTATCTGAGAAATAACCAGCCTGCTGGCTGCAGCTTTAGATTCTATGGTAACACTCCCACAATTATACAGTACCTATCTCAGAAAAAATATAAACTTGCCACTAACAGTGTAAAATTATTTAAAGCTAGCTTGGTAACAATGTGCAGAAATGATCAAATCCAAGATATCAGTGTAGAGGCGGACATGGCACTCTGTGAGCAACAGGTTACATTTTGATACTAATATTAAAAAACTTATGAGGCCATTAAATCAAATGTGATATACTGGTAAGCACTACAATAAAATATGGGCACTGGAACTTCTAAGCTTGGTCTACAAAGATTAACCCACATGGGCTTTGTATTTCAATGTAGTAAACCTATTCAAATGTTAATAAAAAATAATTAAAATTATATTTGATGAATTTATAAAATACACCCACCTACCATCTGACTTACGACCAAGCTTGGTTCCTACTAACCGGACACAAGTTGAACCTTACTACTGAATATCATATTATGTAATGATTTTATTTTGGTATTTCATTTTTTATGCTGTTAGTACTGTATTTTATACTATAAGGTTTAGGAGAAACACTGTGTACAACACAGTTGTTTATTTCCCAGAACATTTACATACAAAACATGGTCGTAAGTCGGATGGCAGGTGTACTAGGGATGACTAATGGTTGGTTGCTTCCATACAATTCACATAACCAAATTCTGATGTCAAATATACACAAATAAAATTTGAATTTTATACCTATGACTGTAATATGCTATTGTGTATGTATATGCAGGAGTGCCAGACTACATACCTTTGATATTTTGGATGACATGATAATTTTTCCTCAAATGTTTCTTTCACAATATTTGTTGCTTCTGCGATGCCATTAAACTGTTGGTCCATTTCAGCAGTAAGTGTAGCAACTGAAAGAATCAATTCAATTCAGAAGCTAATTCTATATACTAGTCCAACAATGAAATAATTCTTTCTTTCTTTCAACACACCGGCCGTATCCCACCGAGGTGGGGTGGCTCAAAAGGAAAAACGAAAGTTTCTCCTTTTACATTTAGTAATATATACAGGAGAAGAGGTTACTAGCCCCTTGCTCCCGGCATTTTAGTTGCCTCCTACAACACGCATGGCTTACGGAGGAAGAATTCTGTTCCACTTCCCCATGGAGGTAAGGAAATAAACAACAAGAACAAGAACTAGTAAGAAAATATTAGAAAACCCAGAGGGGTGTGTATATATATGCTTGTACATGTATGTGTGGTGTGACCTAAGTGTAAGTAGAAGTAGCAAGACATACCTGAAATTTTGCATGTTTATGAGACAGAAAAATGGACACCAGCAATCCTACCATCATGTAAAACAATTACAGGCTTCCGTTTTACACTCACTTGGCAGGAAGGTAGTACCTCCCTGGGCGGTTGCTGTCTACCAACCTACTACCTAGTGAAATAATTATAATGGCTAAAATTTAATTTTTCTTCTGTAGAATTATTTAAAAACTGCTCTAAGACTTTTAATAAAAAATAATCGAAGGTCACTGCAAGTTTCCTGGGTATTCTTTCTTATGAATGACAATATAAACCAGTTTAGAGTGACATTTGAACACTTCTAGAAAGACAGCAATTGAGTGAATGTGTTTTCTTTGGGATCAACCTGCCTTGGTAGAAGATAGCCATTATGTTTTTTTTCTTTAAATTGAGTGATGTTGGGTTTGGGCGATCACACACAGCAAATTACTGGTAAAAATAGGGTTGCTACATATAAGCAAAACTGCCAAAAGTGAGGGTAAACCAAGTAACATCTTAGAATGGATATTTAACAATTAATAATAAAATATCTAAAGAACCACAATCAAGGGAGGTACTTGAATGTGGGGCTTGGACTCTCCTGCCCCTTCCTTGATTGAACCTGAATGCCTCCCATTCCTGTGGGTGCTGTATGACCCTTATGATAAGGTTTAGTGCTCTCCCATGAATGTAATAACTAAACAACCAAAAGAACAACGTAACTAACCACGGTGCCGTGAAATCCTTGGCTGGACACTTATGATACTTGACAGAAAGTAGAACCTTCTTCAATCTCACTACGAATATCACCTGAGAGCATAAAGTTAACAATAGCACGCGCTAAATAGCTTGTCACAGCAACTTGTGAAGCGTTGTAAAAGGAAGACATGTCGTCTTTCCAATCTCTACCCAAATCCTGGGAAAAGAAAATTAATCTTACATTACTCATGATAACTAATAAAGTCAGAGAAGGTGCTCAACCTGTGTGAAAATTCTGAGAAGGAAAAACCGTCAAGCAATGAAAACTGTCTTAAGGGTTTGTTAGAGCTAGCTTAACAAGACTGTTCTGATCTCAAGCTGGACTATGATATTAAGAGCTAAATATAATTTTTCTTTAATGGCTTTTCAGAAATTTTTATCACCTTTAAAACTTATGCTCAGTATTTTCCATTTGTTTGATAGCATATCTTCTTAACAGTGATATGCTAAATGTTTTCCAGACAAATAAGTCAATTCTTCTGCACATTTAAATCCTAGAAATGTCTTATTCAGACTTATGTATGAACCTTGTTTTGGTCACTATACAATAGTAGTGTCTTAACTACTACTTTTATTGCTCTAATTAGTTCCACATCAACTGACTGTATTTGGTGTAGGTTCACTTTGTTTTTTTGTATATAGTATACACTCGTGCTTCAAATTCATGGTAAAATCTCTCGCAGTTCCTCTAATTCGGTAATTCTGCCATCATCTTTAATTCTTTGTATTTTTTCTTTCGCACTTAGTTTGTTTTTTGTAAGCTCAAAAGAGATTTGGTTTTGATCTTCTCCTGTTTAAAATTTGTTTTTAAATATTCTTGCTTTTTTCCTAACATTTGTATATGATTCACTGACTTATTTGAATTTATAATAAGTGTTTTGGTTTGGTTAAATTCTGTACTGCTTCCAAGACTGCCTTTTGTTCTTCTGGCTTTCCAGCAGCAGTATATGTTGCAAAACTCCTTATACATGTATACTGTATATTATATATACAGTAATGGTATATATGTATAACCCTTCTTTTAATATTTCATTCCATTTATTTTTATTGAAACATTTTGTTTGGTCTTCATCCTCTCCTGTTTAGTAGTACAGCATACCTGTTCATGTTTTCTCCTGCCCTCATCATGTCCAACATATATCCAAAAAAATATGCTTATCATGATCAATTGGGTCAAGATTTTAGCTTGTAGTGATAACTTCCTTTATAATAAATATCAGGCTAGATATTAGTGAGGTGTTATCTTCTCTGACAAGAACTCCTTCAATACGCAGATGCAATATTCCATCACAGAAATTTGGTTGGCCAATTAATTTCATTCTAATATCACAGGTCAAGACATGGTATATTTTCATCAATTCCCAATACAAAATTTTTAACTTGTGCATGGTCACTTTTTTGTAACATTTAATTTACTGCAGTAACGGTATATCAGTACAGTGTGACTTTATTATTATTAGATGTGTATGTGTGTGTCTTGCCTCAACAATGAAATTAATTATACAGTTGTATGCTTATTCAAGCCACCCTGCCCCTCTTTCACACACACTCACTTGTAAGTAACAATATCATATCCAGCAACACTATTACAGTACATGAAAGTGAATAAGAAAAAACATTAGACCAGAATTTACCTTACCTTTAAAAACATTTTGAAAGCCTCTCTAACAATCTGGTCTAAATTCAATTCATGAGGGAATTTAAGTTCAGGATTTCTCTCTAGGATGGTTGCTACCACTGAGAAAACCTGAAAAGTAAATTACAAATAAAAACATGTAATTTCTTTCTTAAATCCATATACATTACCATATTTTAATTTTTTTTTGTATGCAGTGAAAAGTTGTATAATTTCAAGAGCTTTTATAATCTCTTGCATTATCAAGGAAAAGTAAATAATAAAAGTCTTATAGCAGAGATGTGACCTCACACTTGCATCTAGTGGTTGGGTCTTACCTCACTAAGTGTGGCAAATACACATTTCCATTTATCTGAAATTTGAAGACGGGTCACCATCATTCACACATAATCACTGTACTGCAGAAGCACCCAGATATGACAGTTTAGATGTCACTCCAAACAGCCAATATCTCAAACCCCTCTTGAAAGTGCAGGCATTGTACTTCCCACCTCCAGGATTCAGGTCTGGCTAACTGGTTTCCCTGAATCCCATCACAAAATATTATCCTGCTCACACTCCAACAGCTTTTTATTTTTAGTAAGCTGTACAGAAAAAGTGGTTACCAGCTCAATGCTCCAGGCATTTTAGTCGACTTTTAAAACACACACTGCTTATGGAGGAAAAAGTCTTATTCCACTTCCTCATGGATATGAAAGGAAAAGTAATAAGAACAAGAACTATTAAGAAAAAACAATGAAAAACTCAGGTGAGTGTGTATACGTGTGTAGTATTACCTAAGTAAAGCAGCAAGATATACCTGTTATCTTGTGTGTTTATGAGAGAGAAAAAAGACATCAGCACTCCTACCATCAAGTAAATCATATACAGGTTTCTGTCTTACACTCATTTGGCAAGACAGTAGTACCTCCCTGGGTGGATACTGTCTACCAACCTACTATGTATAAAGAATTTTGGTGGTCGCTCCTGCAACCCAGCCAGCACAAAAATCTACGAGGATTATAAACAATGTTGACAAACAAATTCTCCTTTGCCTGACATGTCACTCTTAACCTGACTAAAAACTTCAGAATAATGAAAATGTATTTCCCATGCTCAGAGAAATTTCTTAAGATACAAAATTATTTATTTTTTCTTAAGAATTGATAGATGTATCCAAGTGAATTTAGATGGTATTCAAATTCTTAATTGTGCACCTTATAAAACATACATAATAATATGACTTAATAAATCCAACCTATCGTATATCAATTTACGTACAGCCAGCAGCAACAGCCTGGTTGAACAGACCCTGATCCACCACGAGGCCTAGTCTCAGACCAGGCCACAGGGGCGTTGACCCCTGAAACCCTCTCCAGGCAAACTCCAGGTATCTCAAGTCAGACAAATATTATACAGTAGCTGTATTATGTAACAGCTATGAAATAGTGCATGTTAATTTCATGACCATCAGACTGTATATAGAACATATCTTCAATTGTCTAGTAACAAAGCAGTGAACACCTTACAAGTCTGCAAGTTTTACTTAACCCTTAAACTGTTCAAACGTAGATCTACGTTCACCTGCGTGGCACTCCGAATATTTTGAAAAATAAAAAAATATTTTTTTTTTAAATTAACCCTTTGACTGTCACAACCCCAAATCCTGAAGTGTCTCCTGGTGTTGCAAAATATTTGAAAAAAAAAAAAAAAAAACTTATGAAATGATAGAGAATCTTTTCCTGGTGATGATGACACCAAAGTACAAAATTTGATGGAAAACTTACAGAATTATGCTCTCGTGAAGTTAGTGACCTTGGCAATATTTACGCATTAGTGATTTCGCCCACTTTGAGCCCTATTTTCGGCCAATTCCACTGTTCCAGTCGACCAAACTCAGAGCTATTTCTTTAGAACTCCATTTGTTCTATCAATTGAGTGCAAGAAGCTGCCCATTTACTGATTTCAACTACCCAATAAAGTGGTCAGAAATTGGCAATTTGGCCAATTTCATGCAAATTAAAAAAAATTAGTTTCAAAATAGGGTCCAGAATGAACAATGCAGACATTCCTGGCACTAAAATAACATTTTTCTCTGTTCATCAGTCACATCTCCAGGCCCCTGTTATAATACTCTTGCTTTCTATTTTGAATTTTTATTCACACAAAAAATAGAAGATTTACTATTATGCAGACTACTGCAATATTGTAATAATTGTATAAATAACATCAACCCATTCATGACTGCATATTAGAATGGCTAGTTGGACATTTATTGGACAATGACATCATTTGTTCACTCTTGAACATCGGCAAAAATCGAACATTTCTGCCACTTGGAGCTCCATTTCAAGACCCTTTTCATAATAAAACCAATCAAAATTACTTCTATTTCTATAAAATGTTTTCCAATATATCAAATGAGGCCAAGAAAACAAGAATACAACCATAAATACTATATGAGGGGGAAGCTGGCTCGTAACTCGGAGCAAAAAATCGACTGAGTGACGGCTCGTATCTTGAAAAACTCGTATGGTGGGGCACTCCTAAGTCGAGGTTCCACTGTACAGTAAAAAAATTTTGAAATCCCCATTAGAATAGCTCAACTAACTTCAAATAGAAGGGAATCTATTGTATTATTTTAATAAATGTCTTTGGTGTACTTGTGATCCAGTTTGTGAACTTCACTCCTTTTTCTCTTGTGTTGTTCATGTGAAAGATGTTTACTACTTAGTCCCTTTTATAAATATTTTCAGGAACAGTGCAATTGCATGCCACTTTACTGATGTACATAGCTTATTATCAGACTTACCATATACAGCCTCTCCTCACTCAACGACGGAGTTCCATTCCTAAGACCATGTCGGTAAACAAATTCGTTACTAAACAAGGAGCATACTATAATGGTAGTGGGTTTGTGTCAACCATCTTTGATATTATTTTAATGTTGATTTGCACCATTTATAACATTTTTAGTATATTTTTAAATGTTTATACAGTAGTGTCCTGTATATTGTAATAAACAGAATAGAGGAAATCAGCTCTAATATGCATTATTTAGGTATGCATACTGGTCAGAGAGCCCGTCGTAAGTCCTTGTCGTCAGTAAACGAGCATGTCACTAAGTGAGGAGAGGCTGTATTACATTAAGAAAAAACAAAAATGATATTCTCCAACTTTGGTTAAAAGTACAGTACCTCAACAACAATCTGTCGATATTCAGGGTGCTGGATGCGGTTGAGTAGAGACTGGACAGTAAGGGCAAAGTTTAATTCCCCAGAAGACATTTCAGAAATGGTAGGCTGCTGTGGAAGTAACTGATCACAGAGACGAACCCCCTGTGTAGTCTTTGACAAAATGTTGAATACCTAGAAGAGAGAAACTTGTTAAAACTAAGCATTGAATCAAAATTTGGAGAGGCCTCTCAAGAACAGTACATTTAAAATGTTCCTCATAATTTTAAACATTTTAGAAAACAAAGCAAGCAGTATTTTGAAGATATCGTGCAATTCCCACATTAGTATATTTTGCTCTACTTTCCAATTATGCTTAATGATGATGCTGCATAACTGTCCTGCTAAGACTTCAGCCTTTAATGCCTCTGAATTCAGAGAACATATTCTAAGTTGAGTTACCAGAGTCTAAACAAAGTTAAGTCAGGGTAAAAATTACAAGTGTGAGATGAGAGTAAAAAATATGTAAAAATTAAAAACTTGTGAATTATAAAAAAAAAAAAAAAGATTTAGATAAAGAAAAATTGGATATCAAATTGGGGAGGAGGAGTATGGAAGAAGTGAACGTTTTCAGATATTTTGGAGTTGACATGTCAGTGGATGGATTTATGAAGGATGAGGTTAAGCATAGAACTGATGAAGGAAAAAAGGCGAGTGGTACGTTGAGGTATATGTGGAGACAAAAAAACATTATCTATGAAGGCAAAGAAGGGAATGTATGAAAGTATAGTAGTACCAACACTCTTATATGGGTGTGAAGCTTGGGTTGTAAATGCTGCAGCGAGGAGGCGGTTGGAGGCAGTGGAGATGTCCTGTCTAAGGGCAATGTGTGGTGTAAATATTATGCAGAAAATTCAGTGTGTGGAAATTAGAAGAAGGTGTGGAGTTAATAAAAGTATTAGTCAGAGGGCTGAAGAGGGGTTCTTGAGGTGGTTTGGTCATTTAGAGAGAATGGATCAAAGAAGAATGACATGGGGAGCGTATAAATCTGTAGGGTAAGGAAGGCGAGGTAGGGGTTGTTCTCGAAAAGGTTGGAGGGAGGGGTTAAAGGAAGTTTTGTTGGCGAGAGGCTTGGACTTCCAGCAAGCGTGCATGAGCATGTTTGATAGGAGTGAATGGAGATGAATGGTATTTGGGACCTTACGATCTGTTGGAGTGTGAGCAGGGTAATATTTAGTGAAGGGATTCAGAGAAACTGGTTATTTTTATATAGCCAGACTTGAGTCCTGGAAATGGGAAGTGCAATGCCTGCACTCTAAAGAAGGGATTTGGGATATTGGCAGTTTGGAGGGATATGTTGTGTATCTTTATATGTACAGTGGACCCCCACCTTATGAACGCATCGCGTTACGTTAAATCTGCCATATGAAGCATTCGAATGTAAAAATTTTGCCTCGCCTCACGATAAAAAACTCGCCTTAAGTGATTCGTCCGGGATGCGTCCCATGTGTGGCCTGAGTGCCAGTGTTTACAAGCCAGCCAGTGCAGTCGCATCTACGCATACATTCAGTACATTTCACATTATCCCAGTATTTTTAGTGCTTGTAACTGCAAAATAAGTCACCATGGACCCCAAGAAAGCTTCTAGTGCCATCCCTGTGGTAAAAAGGGCAAGAATTAGTATGGAATTGAAAAAAGAGATTAAGGAAATGTGTGCGAAGTGGGTTGAACTGCAAACCTTTACGGATGAAAATCACCCTGACACAGCTACTGCAAGCCGTGTTGGCAACCTGTACAATGACAATGTTATGGCCCATTTTAGGAAAGTCTTAAAGGAACGAAAGGTACAGAGCTCTATGGACAGATTTGTTGTGCGACAGAGGTCCAGTGACACTCAAGCTGGTCCTAGTGGCATTAAAAGAAGGGAAGTAACCCCGGAAAAGGACTTGCTACCTCAAGTCCTAATAGAAGAGGATTCCCCTTCTAAACAATAACTTCCACACTCTCCCCTCCTCCCATCCCATCAATCATCACCAGATCTTCAATAAAGGTAAGTGTCATGTATTCTATTCTTAGTAGAGTAGTAATTGTGCATGTCTTCTTCAGTTTGTGTGTATTAAAATTAATATTTCATGTGGTAAAAAAATGTTTTTTTTCATACTTTGGGGTGTCTTGCACGGATTAATTTGATTTCCATTATTTCTCATGGGAAAATTAATTTGGCTAACAATAATTTCGGCTTACGATGAGCTCTCAGGAACGGATTAATATCGTAAGGCGGGGGTCCACTGTATATGCTTCTAAACTGTTGTGTTCTGAGCACCTCTGCAAAAACAGTGATTATGTGTGAGTGAGGTGAAAGTGTTGAATGATGATGAAAGTATTTTCTTTTTGGGGATTTTATTTGTTTTTGGGTCACCCTGCCTCGGTGGGAGACGGCCGGCTTGTTAAAAAAAAAAAAAGTATAAATACTTCCCTATAGGAAAGTGGAACAAAATTATTCCTCCGTAAGCCATGCGTGTCATAAGAGGTGACTAACATGCTGGGAGCAAGGGGCTAGTAACCCTTCTCCGTATCCCACCCTGCGTCGGTGGGATATGGCCAGTGTGTTGAAAGAAGACATATAAATACTATTGATGGAAAAAGGGGGTAAAAGAGGTTTTGTAAGCAGGGGGCTTAGACATACAGCAGGCATGTATGAGCATGTTAGATAGGAGTGAGTGAAGACAAATGGCTTTTGGGACTTGATAAGCTGTTGGAGTGTGAGCAGGGTAATATTTTGTGAAGGGATTCAGGGAAATCAGTTAGCCGGCCTTGAATCCTGGAGGTGAGAAGTACAATGTTTGCTCTTTAACCCCTTAACTGTCCAAACACAGATCTACGTTGTTACTGCTAGTACTCCAAATGTAGATCAACGTTTTATTTTTCCTGCCTCCAAATTTGGCACGGTTGGCCTGAGATGCCTGGTCAACACAGAATGGGAGCACCAGTTCAGTTGAGCGCCAGCTAGAGCAAACAGCACTGCAAACACCAGGGATTCACTGATGCCATGTCATATTAACACTCCCCTTTTAAGAGGAAAGTGATGTTACTCCAAGTTTAATGGCTTTGAGGTGGATGTGGCCACAAGTCATTGAGGAAACATAAAAATCTCGATAATAACCCATGAGAAACATTTGTGCACCATCCTTTAAATTTTGGTACCACTGGTAGTGTCATCCTGCCAGAATGTCCTATAACCTATGCCCTAAGTGAAGAGAAACAATTCTGGAACATGTAATACATGTTCGGCAGGCTGGTTGGCCTGCTGGCTGATTGGCTGTGTCTATCTCCATCTGTCTGTATCTATCTCTGTCTCTATCTCACAGGCACACATAAATACAATTATACATAGTGTAAATTACCTAGGATAACCCAAAAAAATTCAAAGTGCTATACTGTGCTTGTAGATATAATGCATAATAAGCATGACTGGCAAGTAATACGGATTTTCACTTGTTCAGGAATCAGACGTGACTAATCTGAATCGTGTGTAATACCTGTTGGTTCACGAGTTGCTCTCTCTGAGACAGAGAGAGACAAGCAGAGAGGCAGAGAGAGAGACAAGCAGACAAAGAAACAGAAAGACATAAGCAGAGACAGAGATAAACAGAGCTAGACAGGCAGACAGACATGTTTATGTGTAACAGTGAAAACAAATAAAGACAAGGCAGTGCACAATCATCAAATGTCACTCCACTGCTGCACAGTCAGCAGTGCATTGTCACCATGCTTCAAGGAAACTTACTATTATTATTATTGTTATTATATACTCCTGCATGTCCAAAACATTGCTGGGACCTATAAATACTATGTATATATTTCTAGACAATAGTATGTGACTAAGGTAGGTGAAATTGTTCACATGTCACTTTGTGACTATTTGAGTACTATTCTAGTACCTAATATTAGTGTCAAAACAAAGATTGCCTATGAAATCACAAGAACTACTACAAATTGTAATTTCTTCTTCTTTCAACACACCAGCCATATCCCACCGAGGCGGGGTGGCCCAAAAGGAAAAACGAAAGTTTCTCCTTTTACATTTAGTAATATATACAGGAGAAGGGGTTACTAGCCCCTTGCTCCCGGCATTTTAGTCGCCTCTTACAACACACATAGCTTACGGAGGAAGAATTCTGTTCTACTCACCCATGGAGGTAAGAGGAAATAAACAAGAACAAGAACTAGAAAGAAAACAGAAGAAAACCCAGAGGAGTGTGTATATATATGCTTGTACATGTATGTGTAGTGTGACCTAAGTGTAAGTAGAAGTAGCAAGACGTACCTGAAACCTTGCATGTTTACGAGACAGAAAAATGGACACCAGCAATCCTACCATCATGTAAAATAATTACAGGCTTTCGTTTTACACTCACTTGGCAGGATGGTAGTACCTCCCTGGGCAGTTGCTGTCTACCAACCTACTACCTAGGACAAATTGTAATTATCAGAACATAAAATTATATGAGAAAAAAGGTATACAATTTTATTGGCAACACTTCTGCAAGCGGCAGCGCTTCATGTTGCCATCAGGTGAATGACAAGCTCCAACATTGTGGCCTTATATCTCCGTAAGTACTGACTAAATTTTTTTTTTTTAGATTATTACATGTAAAAAAGTCCTCTTTTAAATATTTGGAGAACTGGGCGAGATAATGTAGTTACATTTGGACAATTAAGGGGTTAAAGGAGGGGTTTGGGGTATTTCCTGTTAGAGGGTCATCTAAACTGTCATTTCTGCAAGCCTCTACAAAGATAGTAATAGTGTGAATGATGGTGAAATTTTTTTTTTTTTTTTTTTTGGTGAGGTGGGGTGGGGGATGGGGGGGTTCACACTGCCTAAGTTGGAGATGGCCAGTGTAAATATATATACTGTACTGCATTTTGGGGAACAGGAAGCTCTTTAAATAAGAAATATGGTTGGGTGTAACTGGAAACTCAAGAGGTACTGGGACAGTATTAAATCTGATTCCGTCATACACACACATTACATAATGAATTATTTAATACACAACTTGATTATTATAGTTTTGAACTTTAACCCTGTAAAAAATCTAGAATTGCCTCTTGTTGTTAGGGTCTGCTGAGTGAATTAATCTCAGACTGTAACAGAATTGTTCGTTATTGCTATGATCATGGACAAATAATCTCAACATTTGTATTTAATGGACAAATGGCATGACTGGACATCCTTCTTCCCTTTTAGTCTGTTACTATATTGTGAACACATATTACAATCAATATTAATGTATCACTGCTTCAAAATTCTTTTATAAGCAGTAACTTTCGTACATTTTTATTATTATTATTATTAATGTATGGTATTATACTACTTAAAATACACAAGACTTTATTGCAACTCATGAGAGGTAAACACAGCATCAGTGGCATAAGACTGACTGCCAATATGCTTGATCCTTGCAGTTAAGTCACATGCAAACTCTCTATACAATGCTCAAAACTTATAACCTGTTAACTTCAATGGTGATGGCACAACTAATTTACTTTTTCTTTTTGAAGTCATTTTTTTTTTTTTTTTGCTGCAATGCTCTGGCATGTGTCACCTTCTGATATAATAAGTAAATACTCTTAAAATAGTAATTGTTTGGGTTTTTCCCTCTTGCATTACCCTTTATAAATAAATATGTCAACTAATAAACAAACCTTTTCATAAAACCTCTTTGGTGTTCGCCCAAGACAACCATCAATGACTCGAATTTGTTGTGGAGTTAATCTGAAAAAAATAAGATACAGTATTTTATTATACTACAGTAACAGGAAAAGCTATTTTACTTAGTTATTATATTCAGAGATACTCAATGTGTAAAGGAAAATAGTGTAACTTTTGTTCCTCCACTTATGAATGAGCAACCCTTAGAAATAACAAAAAAGGCACAATACCGTGACTGGAACGATACACAAATAACCCGCACATAAAAGAGAGAAGCTTACGACGACGTTTCAGTCTGACTTGGACCATTGACAAAGTCAATGTCAATGGTCCAAGTCGGACCGAAAAGTCGTTGTAAGCTTCTCTCTTTTATGTGCGGGTTATTTGTGTATAGCAACCCTTATCTTGACATCACTACCTTGATATACCCTTGATGAGTTTAAAGAGTTTTTCCTACTCCCTTGGGCCCTGGGCTGGGCTTTTGAGGGCACCATATTCTGCAGTGATGGTTCATCTCCCCTGCAATATTTATGCTGCAATGCCACTGACTGTCCACTACATTTATGTCACCATACTGACATAAATGTAGTGGACTATTACTATTTTCTCATTATTTATCATTTAGTTTTATTTATTAGTTCTTATCTATATTTTCATATAATTTCATTCCTACTTTCTCACTTGTATAGGTTTGCTGAGTATTTACATATTCTTGTCTCACAATGTAAACAAGTGGTAAACCTACTTGGTGTCTATATAGTAATAATTCAGGAAAACATTACCCCCACAGCCTAGTCTCAGATCAGGCTTTCATGTCAATGCCCTGGTCAGTAAAGGCTATTGGTACTTATCATATGCAGTTTGATGTAAGCTCTACAGCCTTGCTGTTTAAGAGTAGCTTAACAGCAGAGACTTGTCAATTTCCCTGTTAAATATATTTGGGGATCTGTTGGTAATTCCCTTCATACTGTATTTGAAAGATTGTTGAAAGGTCTTCAGTTTTTATTTATCGAGCATCCCTCTATACTTATTGCACCTATCTTTTTTTACTGGGGGTATTTTGCATCATTTACAATGCCTTCTGTCTTGTAAGAGGCTATTTTACTATCCAATTTAAAGTCAGTGCCACTGGTATTTTAAGACCCAAAATAATTTAGGTGCTTGAGTAGATGCAGGCAGTGAAATATTCTGCTAAACAACTAAGTAAACTCTAAGGGCAAGTGTTTTAAGTGCTCCTGATTGAAAGTAATTGAAATGTCCATGAAGGCATTAGTTAAATTACCTTTCAAGTAGGGGTGGTAGTAACTGTGCAATAGGAAGTGACCAAAAAATACTTTTTTTTAAATATTACAAATGCTGTACTCTGAGAAACGTACTTCTCCTTGTGTGCCCACTCGTCTAGAGAGAGCACCTTGACAACCAATCGGCGTACTTCATTTGGAGCCAGTGATTCGATGGTTTCCTTCACCTTACACACATCATGTAAGTAGTAGGTCATAGCTTTGATCATCCATCTGACAAGGAAGAAAATAATTAAAACAAGAGTTAAGATCAAGCATAACTTAAAAATATATTTTGATTGTCTCCAACTTAAATTCAACCAGGAATGTTTATGCTTTAGTAGATATACATCAAAGCTAATACATTATTATTATTCTATTCATGGAGAAATGTTAAACCCATAGGAGTTAAACAAAACAACACCTAGGGAAAGCTAATAAATTACAATTATTTTATTCATGGGGAAATGTTAAACCCATAGGAGTTGTATAACACCTAGGGAAAAGGAGATAATTATTTTTGTTTCAAGGAAGGGGAAGGTAACTTCAATTCCTTGGATTAAGAGTCCTTCATCAACCTCAAGATGCTCCCTTGATGGTGAAAATCAAGACTTCAGTACATTCAAAATGCTGAGTTTTAAAGGGAACCATTATATACTGCACCTTATGTTAATGAAGTTTATATGCACATTTCAAACTGAAGAAACAGAGACTTACCCAATTCTTATGTTGAGAATGCCGTTGAAGAGTTGTGTGTGTGTAGCAATAAGTTTGCCACAGTAGAGAACTACTTCTTGCTGCAAAACTGCCTGCACCACATTATGAGACTGCAAATGTAATAATAATTAAACAACTGTGAATAGTGGCACTGTGTTATTCAGTAATTGGAAACTCTTGCTAATGCTAGTAACTGATTCTTGATACTTACAAATACATTTCAGATAAACAATGTACAAACTGAATATTAAATAATATAAAATGAAATGACACTTGTAAATCCCCCAGAAAATTCACATTTTGGAAAGAAAAAAGATATAAAACTAAAGAAGAGATTAATTAATTCACTACACTAACTGTAGCTACTGTATAAAAAATATGGTAATACTTTATCCTATGACAGAAGCCACACCAAAGTTTGACCACATAGTAGGGAGAGTGAAGGTATAATTTGTCAGAAGGTTGACAGGTTACATCAGTTGACCTGACGTTAATTTCCACTAACTTACTCTTCATGTACCAGCCTAAGGATAAAAATATTCAGCTTCACAGTATTTCTTGTCTACAGTATTTTTCAAACTATAATATTTGAGTGATTTACCTTTACATTATATGCATATTTATTACATCAGATGTTTCCCACCAAGGCAGAGTGATCCAAAGATTGAAAATGCATTCACCATCACTCCTCCTCAAGGTGATTTTCCAAAAGTACACACGTATCACAATTCAAATGTTCCATCAAATTGTGACACCCACACTGTACTACCCATCTCCAGAAATCAAGTTTGCAGATATAATATCTTGCTCATGCTGCAATAGTGTATCAAATAAAAAAACACTTGTCTCCACTTATTTTGATTTAACACACCAAAACAAACATACTGGATACTCAGGCTAATAGCTTTCAAAACTGTCATTCTTATTTTGTTCACACCATATATTGCTCTCAAACATGACACTGCCACTGCCTCCAGCCTATTTTTTTTATTAAATAAAGTGTAATTCCAAAAATCTTTCAATCCTAAATTTTAATTAGCTACAAGGAAAAAAATTAAAGCACAGATCTTGACAATAGACACAACTGCAGATAAAAATTCATTTTCCATCTCTTAGGAAATTATATTTGCAATTCCTCTTCAAATGTCAAAGAAAACTCTCTACTATGAATACTAGAACAACAGCTGGCCTCAGTCACTCATGTCAGTACTGCTGAGAGGAAGTACACTATCCCTTTCTGGTAAGCCAGTGGTTGCTCCTGTTATGACTCACTATAGGGCCAACAGTTACCCCAACTTCACATACACTCTATGTCCTTATGCAACACTCTGCTATATACTAAATTTTTACATCTTATGAAGCTCTAGAAAAAAATTGGAAAAAACTATTAAAGAGGAGCCTACAAACATATTTTTAGTATACAGCCTGTCCTCACTTAGCGACGTACTCGCTTACCAATGACTTGGACTTACGACAGGCTCTCTGACCAGTTTACATGCCTAAATAATGTATATTTGAGCTGATTTCCTCTATTCTGTTTATTACACTACTGTATAAACACTTAAAAATATACCAGAAATGTTATAAATGGTGCAAAGGTGACATTAAAACAATATCAGAGGTGGCTGACACAAACCCACCACCATTATAGTATGCTCTTCACTTAGCGACAAATTCATTTACTGATGTAGTCTTAGGAATGGAATTCCATTGTTAAGTGAGGAGAGGCAAGTTTTGAATACTTCTACAGATATTAATTAGGAAAGAATAAGAAAAACTACAGGAAATATGGTAGGAGTAACCTGCCTGAAGTGCTGGAGTGTAGAAAAGATCGTGTATTTCAGCAGGTTGGACTGGTTTGTCGAGAAGTATCTCATCATTGCCATAACCAGCTGTTAACTGAAAGCAAGTAACAAATAATTACACAACAGCACTAGTACATATATCTCGGATACTTCTAGACTATTTTCCTATTTAGATACTGTAAAGTAAAAGGACACAAGTGCAACTAATGTGACATTTATTGTGGCAACGTTTCGCTCTCCACAATAAATGTCACATTAGTTGCACTTGTGTCCTTTTACTTTACATATTGTCGGTAATTCTACCAACTTTATTATTTAGATACTGAATGCTGTGGATATTCCTGTTTTGCAGTTTTTAAGCCAATGAAATAATGTAATCAAACATTTTTTGAAATTCAAGAAGTTGTTAAAATGCAATAACTATACAGTATTTTACTTAACAAACAAGTCAAGGAAATGTGCATCTACAAGATAATACATGCATCTAAACCAAACACTGCTGTATCATTCCAAACAATGAGGGTTAACTGTTTTTTGTTATACTACTTAGTAATATTAGTCTTGAGGAGCAGTGAACACTTGTGAGAGTAATCATGAGGAGGCTCACATGAAGCTTAAGCAATACAGCACTATAACCCCTCATCAATACCAGTAAATTATCTACTAAACACTGAATGAATGGAAAGCTAACGCAAACACTGAACTGAATTTACAAAGCATTAGTATTATTATATATATATAAGGAAGTGCTAGACCTGTATGGATCATACAGCACTTGGGGAATGGAGGAAGATCAAGTTTGATCCAAGAGAAAAGGAGGGGTAGTACTAATTCCATGGATCCTGATCCCTTCACTAGCATGAAAGAAACCACCCCCTTGGAAGAATTGCAAAGCATAAAGACCATAAATATGCTAGTACAGGTTAATTTAAAATGAACCCTACTTTAGAAGAAACTAGACTGACAGATACCTGTTTATTTCTATCTTGGTTCTGAGACCCTCTTCAAGCAGATGAAACAATGTGAAAGAAGTGGATTATAAAACACAAGTGATATGCTCTAGAGGCAAGCTCTGAACAGGTGACCTAGCTGCCAGTGCTGAAATAGCATCAGGTTTCCACTGTTCCAGGAGAGGTTAAAATTTAATGCTGCTGCAATGACAGCTGATTCAGTTAGGTTTTCTTTTGTGGAAAGGATGTGTGTTCTCAGTGTATGCTGTGGCTAAAATGTTTAACACACTGAGTGATGTTTTTTTCTTGTGCCTTCTTATGGATTGTGTGTTTGATGATTTTAGTGTTGAAGTACATACCAGTCTGTCTGATACTATAAGTACTATGCTTCTTGCCCCTTGGTGAGACAAGAAGCACACAGATTTTATTTTATATAAATTTGGCAAACAAGATCAAAGATGTTTGCTAATATAAATTATGTTTGAGCTCATTATAAATGGTGTGTGTGTATATATATACACATACATCATGCCCATTCCCCAGGTGGCAGTATATGTAAGCCTTGCCTTGGTAGGAGTAAACAACTTCAAGCTATCTTAACTGTCTTTCAGTGTACTGTGCTGTATGATGTGAGCTTTGTATAAAATGGTGGTAAGTAAACTAGATGCTCAAAACTAATTTTTACTTAATATAGTATCACAACTAGTACATCATATATTAAAACAAAATGACTGCTGTGTAATTACAAAGTAAGGTAAATCTTTTATGTGACCCATCTGCAGTACCATATGTATCACCAAAGTGATCCAATCTTGTAAAACACCATAATGTGGAAAAAACTGCCAATTTTATTACCACCTGAGCACTATCATTATTGTTTGCTTGTGAACAAGAATAGATTCTTCATCTTTTGCATCACAAATAACAATACAGTACAGCCACAGTTTTGTTTTACAAAAATAGTACATGCTGCATAAAATTCCCTAAATTACAATCCAATTAAGTTTTGCTAACAATTAATGTGCTACAAATCTATATAAATCTGTACAAGGTACTCACAATCAATATATTTAGCACTACATAACAGACAAATGTGACAAATTGAGCGCTTCTAAACCTATCCATAATGTATCCCTGTACCGAGCATTACCTGTTTTCCTGAAACTAATACAGTAGTGATGTAAGGTGAGATTGACTCCACCTCCTTGGCGAGTAATGCCGTACACTCTCGCACAGCAGCCCAGTATCGAAGGGAGGAAGCTTGACGGAGCAGGGCGCATAGGCGGTCGTTTACTGATGAAAGCCAGGGAAGGGCAGCATGCATATAAAATAATAAATGGTTTTCAGTTAAGCAGACAGGTACAGATGTAGTTGAAAAAAACTATCTAGAAGTTGGTACACAAGCACCCTATCACACCGCTATCTACAATGAGCTCAAGCACCACTGCCATACCATACACAGGAATTTTCCAGGTAACTTTTATGTCAAGAGTCTTATAATGTTATTTTGACTACTATATTTTTTACACATTATGCTAAATTAGAACATTTTCTCGGCAGGAAGGGCAAGAAAACCCTAGCAATGCTGGACATAACACTGTGGAGAAGAAAAGTTATGCCAACACAAAGTCTCTTCCTCAACATGATCATTTGTTTTCCAAAGAGAGCTGGTATTCCTTGGAAACTTAATCTCTCGATATTTAATCTCCATCCTATCTTTCTTACTACTCACCATTCCCAAATGGTTTTTCAATTCTATAATAATTGCAGTATACCCTTAGGTATACTTGTTAATTAATTTCCAATCATATTATAATTGTTATTTCTGCCTGTCACTGAAGCTGCATAGTGAATTACAACTTAGTTCTATTAGTCGAAAGAAATCACCGAAGAGAATTTTTCTTAGTTGTCATTTGGTCAAGTCAAACATGTTAGTATATACAAGTTACCACCTCACTAACACCATTTTTCCTTTTTAAATTATATCTTCTATACCACCACACTATCTTCTAATTTCTTCATACCTTATTAACTGCATCAATGAGAAAGTTTTCACCAGACGATCCTAGTAATGGAAGAAAGTCCTCTGTGACAATGGCCAAATTCAAATAACCTTAACATGTGGACAGGGAAATGCTTAAGAAACTGATGACAACATTTATTAGATCTAAATTTATATGTAGCAGTATTATGGTGCCCACATCTAAAAATCACAAACATCAAAAATAGTCAAAGATGAACTACAAAACGACTACCAGAATACAAATATATGAGTTACGAGCTACAAAGAAAGGCTGAAGGTATTAGATATGCCTTTACTGGCTGATAGGAGGAAAAGAAGAGACTTACCTACATATAATTAAATGACAAAGATTTCCTAGCACCATAAATAGGAATTCAAGGAAACCAGTTAACTGAACTTGAGTTCTTTAGGCGGACAGTACAGTACCTGCACTTTCAGGATGGGTGGTGATGTTGCAGTTCGGAGGTTGATTTGAATTGTGATGCTTGTGCCCTTCCCGAAAGACAGCTAGAGAATGAAAGATGGGGGAAGTGTTTCCTTCACTGGCTCACCCTACCTTAGATGTAAATTTTCAGTGTGTTTAAAAAAAGGAAATAGAGAGAAGTAATGGCAGTCAGCCATTGCTTCCTGCTACTTCACACTCTTGTTTCAGGCAGGGATTCTGATGTGCTGTTGGAGTGTGAGCAAGGTAACATTTATGATGGGATTCAGGGAAACCGGCAGGCCGAATTTGAGTCCTGGAGATGGGATGTATAGTGCCTGCACTCTGAAGGAGGGGTGTTAATGTTGCAGTTTTATAACGGTACTGAAAGCACACCTCTGGCAAGACAGTGATGGAATGAATGATGATGAAAGTTTTTCTTTTTTGGGCCACCCTACCTTGGTGGGAAACAGCTGATGTGTTAATAATAAAAAAAATAAAATCTGGACATTGAACAGGCTTACCTCATGCCCTAGCTAGTGTAATGTACATGATAACTCTCTAACATGGATATTTCTGTTCATTTGAATACCAGGTATAACAAGGTTTACTCTGTTTTCTTTCTTGTAAGAAAAAAATGATCTTGAAACTTGTTAACTTTTTGACCATTTTTTGTTTTTTAATCAGAGAAGCAGTCATGTAGTGACTGGAGGTTGAACACCTCTATATTTTGAACACCCAGTAGCCCTCTCTTGAGAGAAAGTGATGCATGTGCAAATTTTAATGCTTCCTGGTTACGCTCAGCAACCACATTGCCAAATGTTTTGCATTCGTTTTTTTGTGATTAAACATATGTCATAATGGGTTTATGTTACCTAACGTAAACCAATCTAACCTAGCCTAAAATAAATAGTTCAGTATTATACAGTACATTATTGAATATTACCCATAATTTCATGCAGAATTTAATGAGGTGTTTGCAGCAAGGCTAAATGCAACTAATTGTAACTCCTGGCACTTGATCCTTAATCAGTGAGTAGAAATTTAACCAAAAGTATTTAAAGAAAAATAAAAAATTCTAAGGTTTAGTTCAGTCATCTTTACTGATAAAAATTTTGTTTGTTAAATTTTAAAATTAACAAAATTATTTAATATAATTTTTCTTATAACAACTATGGAAAATACTATCCTAAAGTTGAAGGAATTTATTGCAACAGTTATAAAACTTTTTTATTTACTGGTTCAACTTATTAAAAAATAAACTATACTACTTTCATCACAACATTTTAAACTTCACGGCCTTAACCCCAAATTAGAAATTTTGTACTCAAGACATTAACACAGTTTCAAATTTACTTCAGATTTATTTTAGTACACCAGATAGATCTGTTCTAGATCTGGGTCTAACTCTATTCATGCACTGTTAATTAATGCAGTCCACATTTCATTTAAGCAAGATTATTAACAGATATTTTGTAAGTGACCACAAAAAAACTCACAAAACATTAGACCAGTCATGGTAATTATTGCATATTAATTAGAACGACACAAGCTTCTAAGATTATTTCCATAAAAACAAAGACAAGGCTTGTACAGAATACTGAGGACTCGGAACAAGTTTAAGAAGATAATGAATTTTTTTTTTTTATATGGTGGAGGAGTTGCTATGGGCTTAAGGAAGTCATGCACTGGAATGTTGATGGTTAAAAGTTACCAATGAATTTTGCTGAAGATATCGTAGGAATATCAGGTCTTAAATAATTCATGTTGTGCTCTAAACTCATGTGGATCATTCAGTGCAAGACATGGTGGAGGCTTGATCCTCCTCCTGCTGAGTGCGAGACAGATGCACTTGCTATTTGTACTTGGGAGATGTACGATAACCCAGGATTATCGGGTATACTGATAACCCAAGGTTATCTTGAATTTAATACTTCATTCTGATCTGAACAGTGGCTATAATTTCTCTTCAAAATGGTCTGAACACACTGTGGAGATGTTCTTTGTGTACATCAGTCTCGATGTTAATCACAAACTTATACTTAATGACTCATTAAATCATAATACAATTTCAAACAAACCACAGTACTGGTGGAGTTCAAACCCTACTCTGGTTTGTTTATACTTAATATCTTTTTCCCATACCTTGAGTGCATCATCCTTTCCCCTGCCTACACTAGGAACTTTTCTCTGACCTCTGTACTATGCAATCATGTGCATCTATAGCCTGCACACACTAAATTTAAGTGAAAAGGCTTTTTGCTTTAGACCACGTGTTAAATCATTATTCATTATGTATACAATACGTACTAGACTATACTGAATCACTGCAGTTACTTAAATTAAAAATACACCTGTAGAATGGCCTGTATCTCTATATGAATAAGCTCTGTAGAAAAATTTAAATGCTAGATGTAGGTTAATAGTACAAACAATGTCAGAAAGATGAAATGTTCAGGACCTACAAAGATTCATGTACAGGTACTCTCCCTCATATCCAGCTCCCAGTTGAGATACAATATGTCCAACAGCAAGGGTCTCAAGATTTAAAAGCAGTGCATAAATCCACAACTTCTTCATGGGGTAGTGGAACAGAATTCTTCCTCCGTAAGCCATGAGTGTTGTAAGAGGCGACTAAAATGCCGGGAGCAAGGGGCTAGTAACCCCTTCTCCTGTATATATTACTAAATGTAAAAGGAGAAACTTCTGTTTTACTTTTTGGGCCACCCCGCCTCAGTGGGATATGGCCAGTGTGTTGAAAGAAGAAAGAAATCCACAATTATGGCTTACTACTAGAAGAATACTGTATTCCTCAAATCTCAGAGTAGGATCTGAAGGTGTGTACACTGAATACCAGAAATACCTCACAGCTGGGAGCTTGATTTGAGAATGTGAACCAACTCATACAAAGTTAGTTTGTGATACTCCAGACATATGTTTTTATAAAAGGGGAAAATTAGAAATAATGTATCAGTAAAAAAATGCAAGGGAATTTGCAAAAAAATTTTCTGGCCATGTCAAGCAGAGAGACTTAAAAAGTGTGTTTTAACCCGTAAACGGTCCAAGCAGATCTACATTCACATGCGTAGTGCTCCAAAAGTAGATCGACGTTTTTTTTAAATATTTTCAAATATAACAAAAAAAAAGTAGATCAAAGTTTTTTTACATGTTTTCAAATGTACAAAAAAAAAAAAAAAGAAGATCTACTTTTTTACATACTTTCAAATGTTGAAAAAACGTATATATATGTTTGGACCGTTTACGAGTTAAAAGATAAACTGAAAGAAAAAAGAAGAATGATACCAGAGAAGACAATTTTAATAGAAAAACAATATGACTGAGATGAGTGCATAGAAAGTAAACACCAAAGACTAGAAACAATGGAGAATAGTGATTCAAACAAATGAGAAAATGATAAAAAGATAACTTGGCAGAACAGAAACTGTTATGGAGAAACATTTTACTTGGAGATCAAGCTTTTTCAAATGTATAGGGAATACATGATAAGCATAGGTATGTGTACATATACAGTGGACCCCCGCATAACGATGGCATCACATAGCGATTTTTCCGCATAACGATTACTTTTATCGCAAAATTTTTGCCGCGCATACCGATTAAAAACCCGCTTACCGATTTTCGTCCGAGACGCGTCCAATGTGCCCTCAGCCAGCCTCACATGTGCCGCCCCGTCCCATTGTTTACCAGCCAGCCTCCGCGGTAACATCCAAGCATACACTCGGAATATTTCTTATTATTACAGTATTTTCGGTGCTGTTTCTGGAAAATAAGTGACCATGGGCCCCAAGAAAGCTTCTAGTGCCAACCCTACACCTCAAAGGGTAAGAA